AAATATTCTGGCAATACTAATATGACAGATTCCTAAACTGGCTTTAAGTTGAAATCTTAAAATTTTTCAGATTTCTAATTTAGTGATTAGTAAACTGAGATTGACCTTCAGCAAGACAATATCCAGTTTCCATAACAAATCTAATTTCCCTGACTCCCAGTGGGTCCCACATGGTGATACAAATTCAAACAGTACTCCTCAGAGAGAAAAGACAGAGTCAAAGAGGCTGCTAATGACATGAAAATTAAACAGCCCAGGAAAATATGGCATCTTCAGATGAAATGAAAACATAGTAAATAATCTGACTTTGATTTTCTTTTCAAAGATATACAGCATTATTTGTTTCTCAGCAAGGATAAGATGTAATTCATTTTTACAAAAGAAGTAAGAAAATAATTCAGAACTCACCAAGTTTATCAAATATACATTGGAATATATTAACCCTAAACCCACCGAGATGAATGATTTTTACCACTGAAAGCTTCCTGACTTCAGGTTTGCCAAATTCTTTGGAAGCTTATTGCTCTTAAATAGTTCACTGATGGACAGGATTCAGTCTTGAGATTTCAATAACAGTTTGTTATAACAATTCTGCTTAACAGCTGCTTTTTGCAGCTTATGAAACAAAAAAAGGTTAAAATGACTCGACTATTTTAGCTAGAGGGTAACCCTGCCATTTCTAGAACTGCATACCAATAACCTTGATGTAAAAAATCAAAGTATCACATGTGGTCTGATCACCTTCACTGTTCCTAGCTAATATTACCAATAATGGTCAATATGTTTTTATAATGAGATTTGGGATTAATCAATGCAACAATTTAGCCAATTTAGGAAACAAGTTGATACACAGAAAATATGCTTAAACATAAACTAGTGTCTGCAAAGTTACTTTTCCCCTTAATTTTATGTCATTTGAAAGGGGTAGGTAGAGAATTTATCAAGAGGTATCAAACTGCACAGGAAATACTTCCCAGAATCAATAACTGGGATCACGTCTTATTAAAAAGTTTCTGCATGTCAAAAGAAATCTGCAGCATAGTGAAAAGAAAACCCACAAACTGGGAAAAAATCTTAGTGAACTGCCTCTTAGATAAAGGGCTTCAGTCTAAAACATATAAAGAATTAAAAAAAAATCAGACCCCAAAATTAAAAGATCCAATCCTAAAACGGGTATCTGAGATAAATACACAGTTCTTAGATGAAGAAATATGAATGGCAAATAAATACATGAAAAAATGCTCATCATCATTGGTCATTAGAGAAATGCAAATTAAAACAACACTGAGATTCCATCTCACTCCTGAAAGAATGGCCAGGATCAAGAAAACCACCAACAACAAATGCTGGAGAGGCTGTGGGGAAAAAGGAACTTTCCTGCACTGTTGGTGGGAGTGTAGACTGGTGCAACCATTGTGGAGGTCAGTCTGGAGATTTCTCAAAAAGCTGGGATTGGAAGTCCCTTTTTTTCTAGGTATTCCACTTCTAGGCATATTCCCAGAACTGAAAACATCATACCACAGTGACATATGTGCACCCATGTTTATAGCAGCACAATTTGTAATAGCCAGATCTTGGAAACAACTTAAGTGTCCGTCAACTGAAGAATGAATAAAAAAGTTGTAGTATTTTTATACAATGGAGTACTATTCAGCTATAAAAAATGATCACATTGAGATATTTATAAATAAATGGACGCAACTTGAGACCATACTCATAAGCAAAATAAAGCAAACTCACATGTATAAATACCGTATAGTCTCCCTAGTATAAGAAATAAGATTTTATGGTAATCATGTTTCCCCATTACATTGCTTTGAAGCCTTATGTTTTCATTCATTAGTTTGAATGGTTTTATTCTGTTTTGTTTGATTTTATTATCTGTGATGGTATGAACAGCAATTTTGAAGAAAACAAGATGCTATGATAGCCATTGCTGATTTAATATCATCTTGCTTTGAAGGCCTACCATGCTGTTGTTCTTCTTTCCATTGGTTCTATCATGTTGTTTCTTATTGGATTTTAATATGTTTGATACAAACAAGTTTTTTATGGAAAATGAGATTATATAGTAGCCATTGTTCATTTTCAGCTCTTTGGTTCTGAATGCCCTGTAATACTTTCATTCTCTTGAATGGCTTTATACTATTTTGGTATGTTTGATATTATTGTATATGAAGGTATGCTCAACTATTTCAAAGAAAGAGACATTAGGGTACCTTTTGTTAATATCTGGCTGTCTTGTGGGTGAAGTACTGTGGTACTTACATTGTTCTGTTCTGATCTGCTTTGTTCTGTCCTCTGTCTTAATCTCTTTAAAATTAAAAATTAAAAAACAAACAAATGAACCAAAAAAGAAAATCAAAGTTTTTAGGGCTTGGGGTTTTTAGTTCAATGGTAGACTGCATGCTTAGTGTGCCAAGTCCTAGTACTGAATCTTTCTTTCTATACAAACGTGCCTTTTCAGAGCAGTTTATAAAACATTGCTAACTGTTCTTGCAGTACTTGTGTCCAACTTCTCGGTAATATATGTGATACATAAGAGGAGGACTTTCCATTTGGCGAACAGAAATTAGTAATCTTGGGCTGGATGTGTTGCTTCGTGGTATAGTTCGTGCCTAGTACACTTGATGGTTTGAAATATTTGGAAGGTAATTCTAGATATTATATCAACTTTACTGAATATATACATTATAAAATTTCCTCTACGTAATTACAACTGTTATCACACACAAAGTAAACTACTGCAGTTCCTCGATAGTTTTGAACACCCAGTGTTCTAATTTTCATCATTGCTTCAATTTTTCTTCCTTCCTTCATTTATTTATTGTAATTGGGGTCTGAACAAGAACACAACATTTATTAGAGACAGGAAGCTTCACTTTTTTTTAATAGACTTTTGAGTAAATTTTGGCATAGATTTCTATGCAAGTGAATGATACATATATATGTAAAATCAATAACTTGCCCAAGTGTTTTATTGCATTCATATCTACTTACTGTGATGACACCTGTAAAAATAGCAGAAGTGTTAATTGGGTGTTATTTGTGTCATAGAGTAGATTCCAAAACTACCTTGTTAGCAGACATGACAAAGTGCTTTTCTCAGATTACAGAACAAGTTTCAAATACCACTGACACTGCCATAATCATAGTTAAAACTAATGCCTGGTATTTAATGACAAAATATTTATAATGGTGTGATCAGTCTGTGAACTATTAGGTATTGAAACAATTACAGCAAATTGACAGAGTAATCATGTATCTATGAAATGTAATAATTTGTAAAAAAAAACCCTGATATACATTTTTACTCATAATTGTTTATTTATAGACAGGGTCTCACTATGCAGCTCAGGTTAGCCTTGAACTCAGCGATTCTCCTGCCTCAACCTCGAGTGCTGGTGTGTTACCACACCTGGCTAGTTTGTAACATGTTGAAATAATTTATATAACTTTCTGTGCACATTTTAAAAGTGTGTTTTAGCCAGGAGCAATACACACACCTAGTCATTTCAGCCATCTTTTTAATGTGCTAAGAAATCTTTGTCAAGGGAAATTTCTCCTGTAAAGTTATAGCTTTTATGATTAGGCATGTTTTGAGTATTTATGCATGTCAGGTTATGATTGGGGTACATTTTTCTTCAAAAATATATTTAGTTGTTCTATCCTTTCCCTATCCAATTACCTTAGCACCTGCCAAAAGTTAATTAACTACGTACATGTGGGTTAGATTCTGTTCTACTCATGTATGTATGCTTGTCTCAATGCCATGGCATCTTTATTACTGTAACTTTATATGGGAGCTTAACATATAGTACCATTTTTTTTTTGCAATATTTTCACTATTCTGGGTCATTGTGTTTACATGTAAATTTTATAATTGGCTTGCCTACTCTTTCCCTCAAACACTGCTAGAATTTCAAATGGAATTATACTATTTAGGGATAATTCACAGTGTTTACATTTCATAATATAAATGTTCAAAATGGAGCCTTCCAATCCACCATTATGATGTATCATTTCTCCATTTATATTTTCCTTTCTTAGCAAGTTCTTTCATTGGGTAGGTTTTGCACATATTTGTTGTTATTTCTCCCTAACTACAGGTTGCTACCATGTACAAATAATAAAATTGAGTTTAATAGGTTAACCTTGTTAAACTCAGTTTGGTAGTTTTTTAATTCGACATTTATGAGCATCATCCTCTGCAAAATCCTATTTCTTGCAGCATGTAGTTTTCTTCTTTTTGAAAAAGCTGAGGGTCTTCAGTTCCAGAGTAGATGAAAATGGTGGGAACAAGTATCTCACTGCCTCTTCCCAAGTCTTGTTTGGGAGAGAAGACATACTGTGCTGTACCAAGGTAGCCTCAGGTATGGTCCAAGTTCCAGTCTGCTCAGTCTTTATTGTGAATAAATGCTGAATTCTACTTCGAATTTTTCTGCAATTGTTCATATTCTCTCCCCACTTTAGTAAATTGTAGTGATTTTTAACTTCAGTAATTCATTTTAAAAATTTAATTCATTTTTATTTTACAAATGTCCATCAGTGATTGGAAATAGTGTCCCTTGACAGAAAACTTCAAAAGCAATGGATTAGTAAAAAAGCATTTTTAATCAGTATTAGTTTATCAACTAAGCTGCAAAGCCATATACACAAAAAGCTAAAATCTTGGGACAACAAATATAGGTCCTAGCTGATGACTGTCATTATTTCAAACTAGAAAATAGACAACATATTTTTAAAGCTCTCTATTTCACATGAACATTCCATTTATTTAATCTAGTTTTCTTGAAGTGACGACCCTCTGTTTAAGGAATGTGTGTACACATGCACATGTGTGTGCATGACGGGGACTGCCAAACTGAAGGTTCACAGTTAACTACAAAGTAGTACAGAAGTTAGATGCACACTATATTCAAATAGTCTGCCACAGTTTTACTCAACTACATAGCCCAGGAATTTGAGACTTTTAAGGAAAAACATTCAACACAGGAACATAATGTATAATAATTTTATTTTTCTCATTTTACTATTTTTACATTTTATGCACAAATATTTTTATCTGAGTAAAAATAGAAAATAATTGTTTCATGTAAAATTACAAAAAAAACACAAAGAAATACATAATTGTTATTGTGATAGTATAAGTGTCTTTATTTAAAGAGTAAAAATGTATGCAAAAATCCTCCTCCCTTTTACAAAAGATTGAGAATATTTTTTTCTGGCAACAAGTGAAATATTGAACTATTAATATTTTATACCCTTTAGATCTGAAGATACTAAGAGGTTTGTTTTTCAATTATGAGTTTTAAAACATTTTTGTGCTATATCAAAGATATACTAGTTTTTTTATAAAAGGCAGTAGCATAAAATGATGAATGCAGAAAACAGACAACCTCACCAAAAACATTTGGAGGCACAATCTTTTAAAAGAAATAATTATCTGAGTATCAGCATTAATCTGGGGAGAAAAGTTTTTCCTTATGAACTGACATGGATTGATAATAAGTCAATGTGATTAGTTGGGTCACAAGATAATCAATCACATACAACAATTTTGCCTAGTTTGTTTGATTTTTCCAGTGCCAACACAAATTTTTCAGGGTGCAGACTAGTAAGACAATGAATGAATGAAGCTGGCTCAATGCAAAACTAGATGGAAAAAATTTTAAAACCAAAGTGTGTATTTCACCATTTTTGTACCTCTAAGGTACAAAAAGATGAGCAATTTTGTTTTCCTTTAAATGTTTTCTACAGTCTCTTACAAAAAATTCATGAAACAGCAAACAGCATGAATTATATCTTCTCATAACACAGGTTAGTTTTTAATGGAAGACCATCTAGCAGATCACATCCTCAGTAAGAATAATAGAAACTTTTATATTTGAGACAAACTCATGAAACCCTGTTGAGTCAGCTGGAGACATCAGTCATGGACTTGTATGTGTTACAGTGTACAGTGGACAGTGATGAAAGAGATGGAAAAAAAAGTAACTCAGCTGATCATGTATGAGAGAAAAGTGTTCAAATTATGAGGAATAAAATAAAAAAGTCAAGGAAGAAAACAGATAAAATGTAGTTTAAAAAAAATCTGGGGAATGCTTAAAGCAGAAAAAAATAAAGTTTGATTTTTAGGAATCTAAAGGAAACATGGGTCTTCCTGCTTTAAAAACATATACACATACAGAAGACACATAAAACCTATCTTCTTGGCTAAAACTGTAACTATAAGCATTTTCAATCTAAAAGTCAAGATTCTTGAGCTTCTCATAAACCAGAACAGTATACTTTATTTTTAAAATAAACTTTACTTAAGTGAACTCCTCAGGCTGTTAGAAGATGATGCAAAACCTTATTTACAGATACCTATTTGTTATCTGAAGTTAGGGCTTCTAAAATATATTACTTCATATTGTTATTTTACTCAGATATTCTTAAAATCAGTGCCCAAACTGTACTAGTAATTTGTCAGTTTATTCTGTTTATAAAAAAGAAAGATATAAATGCTATTCTTTTAAAGTACTTATGGCAGAATACTAAAGAATTTAATACAGTACAAATGAACTAACAATACATGCTATTGGCCTTTAGCATAGCATTGAAAATTATGACTCAAGTTACCAGAAAAGGAGATCAAACAACATTCTTTTTTGTCCTTAGAATTCCTGTCTCCAAGGACTCATTCCAAATCCCTGTTTAACATTGGTAGTGCCACCTGGCTTGTACCCATGGTTGTTTCCTCCTAGTCAATAGCATTTACTAAGCTCTTATAAAGCTGAGCTCTTATAAACCTGTTTTGGGGAATAAATTTAAAGGAAATGAGGGAGAAGATGTACAAGGTAGTACTTGAGGAACAATATTTTGCTAGAAAAGCTATTTGTCAGTCTCTCAAATCATGATTCATGCATAGATGCCTTGAAACAACAAAAAGATGTACTTTGTAGCCATTTCTATTTAGTGTTAACTCTTAGTAATTTCATACAAGAATTTTAAAATTTTAAAAATATATTATTTAATACCCCTTTGAATATCTATGTCTTCATACATGCGTATGTATAAAAGTGATCAACTGAACATGTATGCATCTGTATATACATACATATATAATATTCAAAAGGAAAAATAAGTGGGAAGTTTTGTTTTAAAGAGTAAACTACCTAAAATGAAGGTCAAATTTTTCCTTTTATAATTATTTGCAAGTAATTTACTAACATCTTGAAAGGTAAAGTACTGCTGTCTGCTTTAAAGTCTTCATCAGAAACACAATATATAAGCTGTTTTGCACAATAAACAGACACAATAGACTAATTTAAAAAAAGTCATACCAAATCAAACAACTTTTTATTTTATAGCTGAGGTAACTTCAATTTTTTAAAATCTCTGACGGGAAAAACAGAGATCATTTTAGTATCTTTATAATAACTGGTTTATTAGAATTAAATGTCTCTCTCAAAATAATTTAAATCTGTGGCCTGACATAACGAATCATCCACAGACAACGCTTAACACTGGCTGGAGTTAAGCCCCATTTAAACCTGGATCTCCCCCTTTAGCACCGCTCCTTTGCTAGTCACCTTTTTATTGTCCTTTACTTGCAAATATGTTACTAACCTGATACTCGTAGTTTATTATAAATTTATTTGATACGAACATTTTAGCTCTGCTTGACTAGACGCAACAGGCACACATGCTTTAGCTGAGAAATTCCATATTCTGGTTCTATATAAAGTAACATCTAAAGCAGCAGAGAAGGGAAACAGTTACATTTTAAAAATAGCTAAGCCAGACTGTTTCCTGGGATATTTCATTTGTTTTTCATCTTCAGATGCTACTGGCTGTTTTTGGTAGGGCTAGACATTAATACTGACCAGTTTAGCTTTTCTGACTGTTTAACAAACTATTCCAAAATGAAGCTGCTTTCACACCGCAGACACCTTGTGGTGACCCTTTAATATACACTTATGCTAAAATATATGCTCAAAGTAAAAAGATCCAAATTCACCGAGTATGAAACATTTATAAAAAAAAATGCATCAGATTGTATAGTCTAGAAATAAAAGATTCAAATTCAGTAACAAAGGTTAAGAGCGATGCTTGCTCTAATATTTAAGAAAGACCTTAGATCCCCAGAAGCTCCTGGGTCTCAATTATCCTTTTCAGTTTGGAGAGAAGCAGTCGCCAGGGCCACTGCTGTGACTGGCTGGGCAATTCCATGCAGCTGCATCTTCGCAAGTTTCTTCTGTTCACATTCTGTGACCAAGCGGTTCAATTCGGCAGCACTGTATCCAATGAGAGTTTTCAAGTCACAGACAAACTTGTATACAAATCTCTTGCCTTGAACTTTACAAATCATGTCCCCATCATAATAATACCTTTAAAAATAGAAAACTACATTAAGGATATATAAAAAAATGAAGAATTTGGACATACATTTCACAAACTATTCCATAAGCAAAAACCTTGTACAGTACCAGATCCAACACAGCAGCAGGTTATAAAAAATACGAGTATTTAATGGTACCATCAAGGAAACTCCAAAATATTTGCTAAATTTCAATGCTAAGTACTCCAAAATCTTACTACTAAGATTCAAAGAAAATTCTCAACAACTATAATAAGACACTGACTTAAAAACAAACTTAATAAGTAAAACATGACAAAACAGAAATCTTTGGAATGGCAGTAGATAGAACCTACGTGACCTTTGAGTGAGAAAGTCAAGGCACAAAATCTAGCACTTAAGACTTTTTACCTTTGGGACCACAGGAAGAGCACATTTCCTCTAAGTTTTTATTCCTTAGCCCTCCATACAATATAAGCTGTGCTAAATAATCCGGGTAATAAAAATATTTAATATATTCTATAGATTGCTGCGATATCCAATTCTCTTCTTCTGTCTTATTATGAAGTCCTATATGATATACACAGGACTTCATCTTTATCATTCTACTATATAACTGCTCTCTATGAAGACACAGGTGGGTTTATGTTAACTTTGGAAAACAGACTTCATTTACCACTATGCACCAATAATTCCAACACAGGAGAAAATGTTAAGTCAGACCCTTTTCTAGGTTGGCAGATTGTGAAGTACTTATCTCACAATTGCACTGTCCACTGAAAGAGCTGTTATTAAGTAATACCTATTGGCAAAAGTACCTGTAAACCATGTTTATTAGGGTTTTATTCTGAAATTCACTCAGTTTAATTAAACATCCACTAATGAAGATTGATCTATAAACAGGAAATTATGTCTTCTAATTCCAAAACAGAAAATTAGAAGAGATATTTGATTTTCCAGTAACAGACATATAATACACTGGGCAGTCTTGTGTGGGTTATGTTAACAGAGTTTCAATTTCAGCCCACAGAAAAAGAGTGCTCTAAAGGATACAACTGCAAGTGTGTTTAGGGGTGTTAAATAGCTGACCATATTAATGTTTTTGGTTGGATCATTGAACACAACTGTTTGCAGTCTCTCTGTTTGAATGTCCACTTTGTATGCTTTGATACTGTGACTTGAGCAACTATCTCTAAGATGATAATGTGTAATCTAGTAACTGGTGATTTCTTTTTTTTTTTGTAGTTCTGTATTACTTGTACCCTTACACCGCTTTGTTTTGTTTTGTTTTTCCTCTTTTTCCTTTTAAATAAAACTAAAAAAAAAAAAAAAAATTCACCCCACAAACTAATTGCTTGTCATTCAAATGCTGTGGGCAGTTCAATTTCTTAAGAGAATTTCAATATTAACATACACGAGTTTAATAAACCACTTGGTAAAAAGGAAAACAGAGGACAGGAGTTTTACTTTCCTAGGAGGAAAATGGAATTGGTAAAATAATGTTTCTCCATAATAGGCAAAGGGATACACACATATGAATTTTAATTTTACTTAACATTTGTTTTCTTCAATCTAGTAGATGCATAAGAGATTTTATATACACACACACCTGTATTGACTGCATCTATTCTATCCCTAAAATGAAGAAAGCAAGCTGGGTGTGGTAGTGCACACGTGTGATTCCACAACAGGAGGATCACAAATCTGAGAACAGTCTGTGCAACTCGGTGAGACCCCTCTTACAACAAAAAGGGCTTGGAGTGCGGGTCAATGGCAAGGTGCCCTGGAGTCAATATTCAACGCGCCAAACTGAACCAAAATAAAAAGGAAAAAAAAAAGGCATATGATGTTTGCATTTTTATAATTTCACAGGTATGGTTTCCCTTTCTTCTGTTTAACTTGAAGTTTTTGTTACAATATGAAATACATCACAGCCTTCTGAACTGGCAGGAGTGCTGACTCGGTCATCCATTACACAGCGGACATTGATTAAACAGAAACAGCAGCACCTGGAATCCCTGCCATGTGCCCTCTCAACCACTCTCTTCGGTAAACACAAGCCTGCTTCATGACACTAAGTTCACTGTGCTGCTTTATATTTATCAACCAAATATGCACCCCAACTGCTTTAGTGGATCCTTCCCGTTTTTTTTAAAGCCTTGCTAAATAAATGCTTTGATACACTATGCAATCTTCTGGATCCCTTCCCTTCTGTATCACTGTTCACAGCAGTTCTTTTTTATGGATGCACAGTACTCTACTGTCTAAATATACCACAACTGATTTACCCCCCACTTGCTGAAAGGTATTTGGAAGGGTTCTGATTTTTGGACGTCATAAACAAGCTGCTATGTGTGTAGCCATTTATGGGTATTCCTGTTTGGTATGTACTTAGAAAAGCAACTGCTGGGTTACAGGTCACACGCTCCCACCCAAGTGAGGAAGAGTTCCCACTGCTCCACAGCCTGGCTAACCCCAGGTACTGGCAATCGTTTTCAGACTGCACTTCTGGGAATACAGTTTCAAACACCATTTCTCTGATTATGAGACTGCGCACCTTTACCTGTTTATTAGCCATCTGGATATCCTCTTACCTGAAACCTGAAGTGTCTCTGTAGGTGTCCTGCCCATTTAAAAGAAAGTGCCTGCTGATTACACATGTTCTACAGAAATTTCAGATATAATTTTTTTTTTTTTGGTACCAGAGATCGAACTCACGATGTTGCACTTGCCAGGCAGGCGCTTGTGCCACTGAGCTACATTCCTGGCCCCAGATACGGGGCCAGGTATTTGTCAGGTATGTGTGGTTTACTTTTTACTCTTTTAATGACAGCTTTTGATGGCCAGAATGACAGCATTTAATGTGGTCAAATGTATTGATCCTTTCCTTCGGGATTAGTCCTTTTAATTTCATTTAAATGTATTTCCCCTGAAGGCCCAAAGTCTCTACATGTTTTACTATTTGATTTTTTAGCAGTTGGAGCTAGAACTTCACAGAACTGATTTTTGGTGCAGTATGAGGCAGTGGTCACATCTCAACCACCTAGCTTAGCCTTCAAGACAGACAATGACTTCAGCATCGCTGACTGAAAAGGAGGACTTTTCCATGTGCTTTTTTTTGGTATTTGAAACAGGGTCTTGCTATGTACTCTAGGCTGGCCTCAAAATTATGGCAGTACTCCTGCCTAAGTCTCCCAAGTACTAGGATTACAGGCATGCAACACTACACCCAGCTAAATGAGAGCACCTTTATTTGATATGTAAATGATAAAAATTTCAACAATCAAACATGTTGGTAAAGGCAAATAATCTTAGAATCTTTTTAAAAAGTTTATTACCTCAAAATTACTAAGATCTTTTCAAAAGGTAACAATATAAATGTATAAATTTTCCTTTTTTAATATATAAATAAAACATCAACAGGTTGAATATTTTCATATTGTTGTACAACAATGATTACACCTAGAAGAAATTACTTTTTAGAAAGCTGCTATCAAAAAAAAAAGATAGAAAGAAAAAAAAAAATCGCTGTCAGAAAAAAAGAAGAAATCCTTACCTTAATGCACGACTGAGTTTCTCATAGTTCATTGTAGGCTTATTTTTGCGTTGTCCCCATTTTTGTGCAACCAGCTCAGGCTGATTTAGCTTAAACTCGCCTTCATCACCAACCCAAGAAATACAGTCTCGAGCGTCCTTGTCAGTAAGAAGTTCTAACAAAAACTGCCATAGTTGGATTTGACCATTGTTTCCTAAGTTAACAAGAGGGACAAATTTTGGTCACACAAGAGTTATAAACCCACACAAGACAAAGGCAACATATAAACCTTTTGCTTAAAATCTCAGCCAGGGCAAAGACTAACTTTTGCTTTCATAAATCTTGTTTAAACAATGACAGGGTAATAGTCCACATGCATATTTTTATATAGTAAAATAAATTATACCTAATTTGACCAAATTTTTAAGTACAGTACCAGTTAATACAAAAATACCTGTTCTGTTTCCAGGTGAGCTTCTATCTTCTCCCGAAATCCTTGGAGCTCTTTGTACTTTAGCTGCCTTTGCACTACTATTTATAACTTTAATGGTAGTTGGTGTAGTAGACTGCACAGATGCGGGAATAATTTGCACAGCTACAAGAGAAGACAAGGGGTATGTTTTCTTCTTCCAATACAAGTAGTGACAAAAACATCTTAAAAGATGTTAAATTAACATCAATTAACACTGATGTTTCTCTATGTCAAGAAACAACTTCTTTATAAAGTTATGGTATCTGTACTTCAATATCCTGCATTGCTACATCTAGGATTCATATCTAAACCTTAATGAGAGTTTGCCTGTTTTAAAAATGATATCTTAGCATTACTTAAACACGGGACAAAGAATTCTTCAGAGAAAAATTTGGCTAATTAAGAATTCACATCCCATTACTAGTAAGAATATGAACTCATACAACCACTTAAAGAAAAACTTTTGGTACTACCTACTGATGCTGAGTGCAGAAACCTTGTGATGTTACTGTATACTCATTCAGTGATGTTCACAGCATTTTAAAAGGTACTATTTACCAGTAAAAATGAATAAATCTAAGCTGTAAGTATCTATACTTAAGTCTCACAAATGTTGAACAAAAAAGAAACCTGTAACAGGAAATTCACAATACATAGTGTAATTTTACCCAAACCTTTATACCTGGTGCAAATGATGTCGTAAATGCTTATGGTTACACATCTGGTAGAAATACAAAATGTAAAGAGAATAATAAACATCAAGTTGAGGACAAAGGATGAACAGGATCTATAATAGGTAAATTTGATAAGTAGTTTTATTTTTGATGGTTTGCACAGCAGTTAGTTGTACTTTATTTCTCTGTGTATATAAAAATCTTTGAAGTTTTTCTTTTTAATATCTTACATTCCCAAAAGAAAACATTTCTTATTGATAAATGGGCAAATATGGGCTGAACACTCACGTTGATCGATTGTAACTATCTCATTCATCTGTTGCTCTTGGCTTGCCAACACATCTGGAGAACACACAAAAGAATTTTTGTTTTCATTTAAAACCAGAAATAAAAATTCCAATCCAGAAAACCTCAACTTGGTAAACATGATCCTTAAAAGGGAATTCATAGTTAAAACCAAAACCAAAAAACCAAACAAAAAGAAAATTATTAAACAATTGAAATTTACTGAGATGAACACTCAAAAATACCTGAGGGAGAATCTGTATGGCAAACATTGTATCTTTAAGAGAAGTGGAAAGTAGAAAACTTCTAACTGTCAGAGAAGTTACTCAAAGAATATGGTTTTTCAAATATCTGTATCTAACTCTGTAAGTTACATTATATTAGGTCCTAATGTAATCCTTTATAGAACAAGCATCTATTATAAGTCTTTTACTATTTTTAGCTCAAATGCTTTTCTCTGCCAAACAATATTTGCACATCTCCACCTCTACTATTTCAACCCACTGAGTGCCCACCAGAAACTATACGTCTCTCAAAACTGAACTTCTCAGTAATAATTCTGGGCTTTAAGTAAGTCCTGGAAACCCAACAGGACTCTACTAAAGCTGTGAAGCCACAATCCAGTTCCAGACACACAGCTATAAAATGTTGGGGCGCAAAGAAAAGAGAGATCCAAATCCTATGTATTAGATGGAAGCGGTCTTTGAAAGAACAGAGTTTGGGGGCATAAAACAATTATATGGGAGTAGCTTCAGACAGATTTGGGTTCAATTAGCTCTTACTATGTAAATTACTGTGAGGATTAAAGGAAAATTTAACAGGCACAGTGTAAAATTAATTTTTCAGTAAACTGAACATGTTACTATTTTATGCAAATTTCTAGTTCTGGGCTTTCTCACTCAGAACTCTTACTTCTCTTGAAACACATTTTATGTTTTATGTTTATGGCACATTTTCCTCAGAATTTCGTAAAAGTACTTCAAAGAGGGTTAGTACTAATTAAGTTGAAAAACTTCCAACTGTAATTAAATGAATAAGGTGCCCTTGCCCAAAAGAGACAAAAGGGAAAATAACTATCAGTTAGCCCAGGTATGGCCAAGCCGGAAAACCAGCTTCCAAGCCTTTTCTCAGACTTCACTTTTGTCTTTTTATGGAAACTATCAAGTCAGAAGGCAGAACACAACATAGGGGGTTCTGAATGCTTTAGACCAAGAACACACAGGTACCAGGCTTCCACAGAACCCCTGTCCTCTTGGCTATGGCACAAAGGAAGCAGAGTCTTTAGAGCTAAAGCTGGGAAATATGGAGTCATTTTATGAAGAAATGTTAGGTACTAAGGATACAAAGCAAAATTTTTTCCCCTAAAGAACAGCCTTAATAAGTTAAGCTTTGCCTTTGGTGATAGAAGACATATCTGCATCAAGACACATGCTGTAGGACTGGCAGTACTGAAAGATTTCCCAGTTATCCTCTCCAAATACAATGGGTCTAGGTGAAGTTTCAACACATGGGCAAGTGGTGGTTTGGTAAGTAATTATCACACATAGCTGCAGAATGAGCTCTATCTCTCCAGTACTGCTTCTCCTCAATCGATAACTGAGGATGAACAGATAGCTGTCACTAACAGTTCTGGGTCAGGAATCTCTGCTTTTCGGGATTATTCTACAGATTTCTGTTTATAAGAGACTAGAACATTGGACTGTTTAAAGGACTATGTTCTGAAAAGTGAGATTTGTAAAACGAAAAAAATCTGCCAGAAATAGTCTTATACATCATCCTGCCAATTTTACAAATTTTGAACTGAACACAAGATTTCTAAACCAGATGGGATTTCTTGCCGGAATGCAGAACCATGGCTGAACAAACAAGGAACTATGTGAGACCCTTCTGTGACAGTGGGCTTTGCGGAAAACAAAGCAACAATTCCAGAACATGAGGAAGACCCATTCTATTACATGGAAATGAGAAGACACACAAGACTTTTGCCCTTCTGTACTAGGAAATTTTATAGAGTTTGAAAAGCATTAGGAGAAACAGAAAGAGACAACCACAAGAGTTGACTGGAAAAAACTGGAAATAAATTTGGGAAAGCAAGCACTACTTTGTTGTATTCTTGAAAATTCCCATAAGATAATGTTTCAATAAACATGACTCAATGTAAGAAACTGTAGCAATTTGGAATTTACCTTATTCATTTGAAGAGCTCTGCAAAGAAAATCTAAAACCAATGATAAACCTTCAACAAAAAAGTGAACTTATCTATAATAATTAACTGGAAAAAAAAGTGTAAATGCAACGAATATAATCAGGCTTTCCGTGTGATAAGAAATTTCCATAAAAGTATCTAAGTGAATCAGTACAAGAGTAAAACTACGGGTAAACAATGAAGAAAGTCGAGAGCTCATTTCCTATTTGCCAGCAGAGAAAGCACTTTGGGTGAGGATGCTCAGCACTAGATTACTGTGGCAGGCCCTCCAGCGTGGGTTTCTTCTTACTAGAGATATCGTAGAATAAAATACTGACCATTTTATCTTTACTCATAAATGTTACAAATGTCAAGAGTTTACCTTATGAACTAGAACAACCACCACCACCGTAGGACTGGCTTGCATCTCTGATATACAAAGCAGTGTTAGAAAATGGGTTGCTACTAAGTAAGATGTTTTTTAATAGCTGTCTGTGGCTTAAAGTCAATGATATATTTAAACTATAACAAAATAATTTATATTCATTTGAGCTTGTTTTTTGGGAAGCCAATCAGTTTCTAATTTTTCTACATAATCATAACAGCTATGGCATGTAAGTTTCAAGTAGAAATCAATTCCATCGGAACCCAGTAGGTTCCAATTCAGAAGCATAGATTGTAGGCTTAGATTTCTCCTTTCTCAAGACTCTTAAATTAGCAGTAAAGAAATTAAAAAACATTTCATCTTGTTAAGAGAATGGGAGGGAGGCCATCTGTCAATAGTCAAAGAACATGACACTGAAGAATGACTGATGAAACAGAGGCAACAAAAAGAATAGATGGAAAGAACTAGAGTAGGGCATAGGATTGAATTTAATAATCTGGATTCTAATATAAGCCTGGGTTAGTATTCTGGCCCTGTCACTCCCTACCTCTGTTATTTTGGAGGCTTTAAAAGACCCATTATCTTATATGAAAAATAAGTAAATAGTTTTTTTTTTTTTTTTTTTTGTCTTTTTCTTTTTTATCAGTACCGGGGATTGAATTCACAACTGCCTGCTTGCAAGGCAGGCGCTTATGCTGCTGAGCTAAACTCCCAGCCCCAAAATAATAGTAATAGTGTATAATAGTGTAGTAATAGTAAATAGTAATATGTGGCATTATTACAGGGATTAAACAAGAGCACAAAGAGAGACCTCAGTACTGCCTTACATTACTTAATTGCTTATTTAACTGCCTTTTATCAATGATTAAGGTAGAAACAAAATTATAAAGAAATAAAATTAAGCTTAAGTTAGAAGATAAATAGGTAACTAATTTTATACATTTTCGAAGCAGCTCCAGATGACTCCAGAGAATTTCTCCCCGAGGTACTCGCTGAAAAAAATCTTCTTGGTTGAGACTACATAATTCTCTTCCTGAAATGTTGAGTGTGGTGAGGTCTATATCCGTCATGCTGAACTCCTTCATTACCCAAACTACCCAATGCAGGACCTGGTCTGTGGACCACTGAATGGGATCTAAAAAGAAAGAGTTCTCTTTAGCCTAGTTCCTTTTCAGAAATGTTAGTTAACTTGTCAACATACACACACAAACACAAAATCCAGACAAAATAGTTCCGCGAATTAAGTAAACTCATTATGAAGTAGAAAAGATCTTTATGCTGTACTTTCTCCTCAGCTCTTTTTCAATCTCTCAAACTAAATTTACGATGGAGTCATTTGATTCCACCGTTTGGAATTTTATCAAAGAAAACAAAATGAAAAATTGTTCTCCAGTGAGGCAAGTGAAAGAATATATGTTTATCTTGGAAAGAACAAATTATCCAAGTTCAAAATAATATTTTATAGCTTTGTCTGATTTGGTGTATCAAAAATAAATTATAAGGGGATTTTAAGAGCTAGTTGGTCCTACACTTACAGTTATGGCACATAAAATACAACCTATTAATCACTTCTTTATTTAGGTGTGCCACTGCAAGATGTTAAGATTTTAAATACATGGATTGTGTTTGTAAATTTTACTTTAGAGCCTATCATAGTGCCTTGTACGTATTTTTTAAATCCATAAAAGCATATGCAAAGAATTTCATTTTTTCTATCGTTTTTTTTAGTACCTAATTGAACTCATAAATGAAAAAGATGGCCAATATATACATGTACTATTTTTCTGGCGCCTACTTGTGGAAGTTAATCTGAGCTGAATTAAATGCTTTAGAAGATGATTTATCCAACTAATACTGATTATATACACCAATAAACATTATTCAGTAAGAAAGTAAGTGGGACAATAGTATTTAACTACTTATCAAAAGCCAATGTATACTGAAAAGTGCATGAAACACACAAATACAGAATTGCTAAACTAGAGTTTGGCAATAGTCTACGAACTACTGAGGGCTATCAAAGAGCCATTATTCTATATGAAAAATATAGAATTTTTAAATAAATATTGACACAAAGCAGTAAAGATTTTAGGAAGACGGTAGTAAAGTTTAATTTCTCTGAATACACAAAGAAAAACAAGAAGCAACTAGAGGGCAAAACAAAAGACCTAGGGATGTTTACAATGAAATGAAGAGATGGTCGAGTCTTAAGGACTCTACAATACATAGAGATGAAGACAAAGCTAAAAAATGAAAAAAGCAAAGCAAAGCAAAGCAAGGAAAGGCACGGCACGGCAGGGCACAGCAGGGCACGCAGGGCAGGGCAAGGGATGGCATGGCACAGCAAAGCAAAGCAAATCCATTCTGAGCATAGGAAAATCTGAATAAGGTCAGTAAGTATCCATTAAACCTGGGCATAGGAGCACACTCCTATAATCTCATGAATTCAGCTACTTGGGAGGCTGAGGTGGGAAGGTTACATATTTGAGGACAGCCTAGGCAATTTAGTAAGATTCTGCATGACAATAAAATAAACAGTGTGGTGGTACACACCTGTAATACCAGCACTAGAGAGGCTGAGGAAGAGGATCATGAGTTCAAAGGCAGCCTAAATTACATAGCAAATTCAAGGTCACCAAGAACTACATAGTAAAACTGTCTCAAAAACCAACCAACCAACCAACCAACCAGCAAACAAAATCTGTGAGGGGTGGGGAAGAGGACAGAATACAACACGGGCCAAGTTGAAAGCAATGGCTCAATTCAATGACAGCTCATTACAAAGGTCTATGGTAAGGTTTATTTACTTTTTGGTACCAAAAATTGAACTCATGACCTCACTCTTGCCAGGCAGGCACTGTGCCACTGAGCTACATTCATGGCAGCCACGATAAGGTTTAAAGGGCTGCAGAAGTGTAACTTTTGAGAGCTTTTCAAATTCATCCCAGGTTTACTTCCAGAAGAAGTGTATACAAATAAGGAAAGCTGTCTTATTCCAGAATACAGTATTCCAGAATACAGTACTTCTTGAAAACAGGAAGAGGTTCTGTTTAACTTGAAAAGCTACCCTGAAATACATAAATACACTTTCTTAAAAGTCCACAAAATGCTGGGAATGGTGGCATACACTTGTGATTCTAGCACTCTGGGAGGCAGAGGCAAAAGGACTGCAAATTCAGTCCCAGGATGGACAACTCTGTGATCTTGTCTCAAGGAAAAACAGGGGTGTGGCGGGGCAGGGGTTAGGGTAGAAGTTTAGCTCAGTGCAGAAGCCTTGATTTAGTCCCCAGTATCACAAGGAAAAACAAAGCAAAATTTTATACTGAAATGAACAAAAAAACTATCAAGATCAAGAAATATAGGGAAAAACATTAGTCTGATTTGTTTTCTCAAATATCAGGACTTCTGATATAACATACCAAATTTGCCAGGCATGTTTTGCCTCTTTTCTGTAAGACCCTAGTAAAATGACAGTAAAAGGATCTTCTAAAGCTATAAAATCATAGAAACATGAGTAAAGTAGCAGAAATGAGTAAGAAATTACAACTAGCTTATTGGAGACTACTGTAAAATAAAGTTAAGAGACAAAAATCAATAAAGTGAAACATATTTGTGCCTAGGGAACAAGACTGCAGTCATGGTAACTGTTAGGGGAATTGCTATTTTTCCTATGGCTTTTTTTTCTCTGTCTTTGAACTTAAAAGACATATGATAAATGCAAGAGCTTATCCAGAGGATCAAGGGAGAACTAGTTAAGACACAAAGCAAGGATATGTGTAATAGTTTATTTTTTGCATGAATATAAAGTAGTTTGAAATGTATTTGACAACTATACAGCACAAAATGTGAGTTTTGTTTTTTTAAAAGAACTAGAAGACAATCTCAGCATGTCTATTTTTTAAGTCTTATTTAATAAGAGATAATAAATATTTTGAATTTTAGCCAGTCATTCAACACTGCTCAGAGTTAGGAAACTAATCAAAGAACTATCCTTGGTACAGAAATAGAAATGTAAAATAATAGTTTCCTATGAAAATATTAATCATTTCTGAAATTTCCTACTGGGTAATAACATGACAAAAACAGTCACCAATAATTTTTGTCACCAAAAATGTCTTCCTATACCTTGACCTCCATAAGTGTCAAATGTTTTAAAATTAAAAGTTCCACTCTCAAAGCAATTACCCCATTTAGGCTAACCTGGACATTTATCACCATTGTATAAAGTACAATAGGCTCCTATTCTCTCTCACCCACTCTCTACTTGCTGCTCCAACTTAAAGCATGCTCACTGTCATCTATTTTTCAATTATCACTTGTACAGATCAAAAGTATTTCTACACAGTTACAGAATAACTCCACATCCACTCAGCATTTTCAAGACTCATGCAAACTTCCAGCTCTACGTTTTGCATCAAATGTTTCCTGTCTGAAATGTCCTTTGGATAACAGTTTTTTCTCTGAAATAAGCTCTTCTCCAATTTTGCTCTCAGGCCACTATGATTTCTCTGACATTCTAACAGCATATTTTTAGTTATACAAACTACTGGCATCTTAAATGTTACCTTTATAGTTATCTCTTTTCCACCTATCTCTTTCCTCTTCAACTTATGCTTGCTATGGTCAAAATTTTGTTATTCTCCCTAATAAATAACCCTATTTTATTACCGTAGGGTATCCCAAGGCGTTCTTGTTCTTTCCTGTAACCTTCCAGTGCCGCAGCCCATCTTGTCACCTGCTCTGAGGTTTCGTCTGAAATGGTTGTGATATGTTTGGTACCATCAAGAGTTATCACTTGAGCTTCTTCTACAAGATGTGCTTCTGCTTCGGCATGATGAGCATCTGGATCAATAACTACTTCAACAGTTTCCGCAGTTTTCACAATTTCCAGGATATTTAGCTTTGGCTCAATCCCTTCACAGTGAATTAAAAATATATACAAATTCAACAGAAAACCCAAGTTTCAAAACATATAACTGTTTATGTATTCCCAAGCAGAAGAGAAAAACTACATATTAACTATTTTAGCAATATATCTAGAAAATTTAAGATGTCTGCAACAATAAATACATTTTGATAGAACTTCTGTAGCAATATATGTCAATATTAATTTCCTGATTTTGTTAATTGTATGGGATACATATGAAATAATCATTCTTTTCAAAGAAATACTGATGATGTATTTAGAGACAGAGATCATGCTTGCAACTTGTCCTTAAAAAGTTGGAAAAGATAATGGGTGGGGGAAGAAAGAGAACAAAAGCAAATACATTAAAAATTCACACCTGAAGAATAGGGATGAAGGATACGTAAACATATCCCAGCACTGGGGACTGCATCCAGGCCTTTGTGCACGCAAGTCAAGTGTTCTACACCGCTGGGCTACATACACAGGGCATTTATTTTTTAAGACATTAAATTGTCTAGCCTGTCCTCAAACATGTAATCTTCCTGACTCAGCCTCCCAGTTGTTATAGAGGCATGTGCCAAAATAGGTTCCGAGTTCTTTACCTAGTTTTGAAACCTCTGCAACTGTTAAACATACACGTATCAACCCTACCTACAAACAGCATTAGAAAAATAGGGATTGCTACTACAGTAGAAGTACCAGCACAAAACAAAAAAGGAAATCTCAATTAGAACATAAATGTGTAGCTATCCACCTTTAAGTTTAAATATATATACATACTCTTCAGTGACTATTTACCCAGAATCCAAACATTTAAGATATACTATTCAAACAGAATACGCTAGCCCCTTTATGAAATAACCTCAGATATTTATGATAAAATAATAGCTCTAAGAAACTATCATTTAATAGCTAAAGTTTATTGACTCTGTCATAATATGTATCAAAAACTAAATTAAGTTTGGAAAAAAGGTAACAATTTCAATTCCCCATGAAAACCAGTACAAAAAAAATGTACTAACATTCATAAGATGGCATCAAGAAAGGCTATTTTTTAAATATACATGACAAAGAATTAAAAATGAATATTTTCCTAGAATCTATTCTCTAATCCTCCATTCCAATTTCAAAAAGCTTCAGGTCAACTTTTTATACAACTTGTACTGAGAAATCACTGGACTTTTAAGAAGATAAAATCAATGAATTTCTTTCCTATCTGCCATAGTAATCAATTCTGCAGGAATTAAGATTCAGAAGCAGAAAAATAGGTTTTCAAAGTCAAAAGAAAACTGATATATGGGAACACAGTCTAAGCAATATAGTATGTCAGAGATTAAATTACTTAAAAACTTAATATAAATTAAGAAACTTAATAGAAATCTTAACAAACTGCATTTTTCAAAACTAGAATTCAACCCATCAAAAGGCTAATTTTATTTTCTGACCTGACACTTACACAAGAACATACAGAATGGATCACTATGTCCTCTGCAAATTCTTCTCCTTGTACTAAACTAGAGACACTGAATTTCCTTGCAGTTAGGGTTCTGCATGTGATTGGGCTCTACATTCACTGGGCAAGGCCTTGTATTTGGAAATGATTTAAGAGATGCCAAGCAGGAAAATGACATCCGTTTTGTGGCTAGTGTGGCTCACTGTAAAGCCAGGACAGTTGCAGGTCAACAGCCACAGTGGCAGTTCCCAGGGGCTGCTTCTCATATCAAGGCAGAGTACCAGCTTTTCAGCAGTCCCACTCTACAGTGTGGCTGAGGCATTCTTAGGAAGCTGGCAAGAACGTGTTCCTATAGACCTCTTTGTGATTCTGTTAATTACTACTGTATCATATATGTTTTTGTTTGAATTGGAGGGAATATGTTATACTCTCTGCTTCCTGACAGATTCAACTAAACTATAAGACATTATTTAGCTACAGCATCACATTAAGTCATTTAGACAAACATCTAAAATGCTACAAGTCCCAAAACTGAATTATTGTTTCAGAAAAACATGAGCTAAACTTTTAAATAAAAGTCACTAAAAAGAACTTACCTTGGTAAGAAATTACCTGTACACTAAGCTGTACAGTTCCATCTGTCTTTACTCCTTGGTCAAATAAACTTCTTTCTGGATCCAGCTAGACATGGGCAAAATGTAATATAATTTTATCTCAGTCATTAGGTTAAGGCTCCTGTCCCTGGTTTAGTTAAGTGAAAGCACTTAATTTTTGTGTATAATAAATAAATTATAAAACATTTAATTATCTGAATTGTCATGTCTTTTAATTCTTTGCCAAAAATGAAATTATTTTAACTACTGAGTCAGTAATTTGAGGAGGCATAAACTATCAAATTGATTTTAAGTGGCAGTTTTCTCTTACTCTGGAGTCTGGGTTGAGATCTTCACACCAAAAAGCAATTATTCATTCAGTAAATGTATTTAAAGACAGTATCGTCTGTCATGAATAAGCAAGGGTGTTTAGTGGTGACAATTTATCTAAATTTATTACTTCATCTGGCTCTGAATATCATTAATCTTAATTCTATATTCTTTAAACATTAGAGCTCTTTTTTCTTCAAATCTTCACACTGAATGCTTCACACAATGGCAAATGATGAGAAAAAGTAATTCTGACTTTGAGATACTTTCTATCACCAGCTTGAAAACAACCTCTCATTGTAATTATCTTGAATAATGTGTATTACCATGTGTCTGCATAGCATATTGCTGAGGTACAAACCTCTCACTCCTAAGAATTCATTTTTTAAAAGTACTTTATTAAAGTAAATGCTTAAATTTTATCATAACACAGGGCTAACCCATTTATAGAGAGAAAATACATAGCTATACAGATAAAGCCTAACAAAACATAGTTGTATGCAGATTGAAATGCTGAAGCACAAATCCGAAAAAAAATATTACCTGAATATCTTGCAGACAAATTTCATGAGCATCCAAAGAACACTGTAGTCTTGGTTCTAGCAGTTTTTTTAAATTGCCAATTGGTTCATTTATGTCTATGGCCTGGCTTACACATTCAGCTGAGGTATAGGTTTGTTCTACAATGCTAAATGTTAAAGGACATAAAGGTTAGTGATTAAACTGTTTCCCTGGATTTTAAAGTGATAATATCCTCAAAACAAAATTCACTACCAAAGCACAGTTATGATTTTTGAAAACACATTTCTTCTTAGACTCTGTGGTAGGTTCATCACTAACCTGCACTGCCAAACTGAACACTGAATTGCACAGCTAACTTGAAATATGTAAATAACTTATTACATAACACTCAAATTTTTAACATAGCTAGACTCAACTATATTCTCTAGTTTTTCTTAAGAGCAATATCATATCATTTACAATACACACCATTTACAATATACCATTTACAGTACATACAATGAAAGATTTCATTAAAACATTTTATTACACAACAAAATTTCAAAAATGGCAGCTCATATGTTAATGTATATGTGCTCACACATATATACTGCTTGTACAATATGCAATGGAAAATATTTGCATTTACATTACATTTTAAAGAAATAACACATGCCATCAATATCAGTCTCCCTTCACTTCATAATCTAGTAAGTATAAAATAAGATATGAAAGTATTCTTTTCACTCAATCTTAGTATTGTTAGCCATAACTTCGTGTTTTTAAAAAAGTGTATTGTCCCTTAAAATTTTCTTAGAGCTCTTGTGTTATTTTTAATTTGAAAGGATTAAATACTTCATAAGTAATTTTACATATTTCTTATTAGTTTATGTGAACTAGAATAGAAGCTAGAAAACACTGGATATAGTGGTACAAGCTTATAATCCTAGCTACCAGGGAGGCTGAAGCAAGGCTCAATCCGAAGGTCAGGACCGGCCTGGGCAAAACCTAAGTGAGACCTTGCCTCCAAACAAAAAATAAAAAAGGACAAGGGGACGCAGCTCAGTAGTAGAGCTCCCCTCGGTTCAATTTCCTGCACAACAACAGACGCAAGTAACCGCTGAATTGATAAATAATTCAAAGAAGTTTCACATGTATAATTTAAATATGATTTAAACCTCATTTGCAATTGTCAAAAACAGTATGTATTGAAAAAAATTGCCAACTTTCATTCACATAAACTCTAAGGTCAGTCAGATATAAACATGGTATTAAATGAATGGATATAGCTCAAATTTTTTCTAAGATATTGAAAATTTATAAAAGACATCATGAGCAAAAATACAAATTTATTTTAAAATAACTATACACTTCTTTGTTAAGATGAAAAAATATTGGCTTTGGCTAAGTAAGCCCTTCTGCTAAAATTTTCAGCTACAGCACAAGAGGCTACCATTTTCTTTTTTTCTAACAATGATTTTAAAGATTCTGATGCATTAAGACAGATTTTTGAAATTCCTATTTCATATATGCTGATATTAAAAATCTTTCAAAATTTTCTGTTATGATTTAAACCATGGGAAATTTTAAAAAATTGAATTAGCAGTTTCTCTTGAAGACAATGTGGTGGGCTCATAGCACTGGCCCTAAATTCCTGTAAAGTAACAATCTACTGTAGCTGAAAAGTAACCAGGAACTCCTCATAAAAGTCACAATAACTACTGATTTTTCAACTTAGACATATGTAAACAGCTAGAAAGTAAATACTTCCGACTTTATAGACCAATTGCAGGTATATATATTAAAATAAACACATTCATGGTAGGCTCCAAGAGAGCTCCCACTGGTTTTCATTTCCTACTATTCATATCCTTTTCTAGTTGCCTCCCACACTGTAGCAGGGTTGGAGCCAAAAAAACTAAGGCAAGTGTGTTACATGACTTTGTAGATTTGGTTATTTAACTAAAAGGGTATTGTGGCTTCCATCTTGGTAGCATCTCTCAGAGCACTTGCTTTAATTTAGGAGAAACCAGTTATCATGCCATGAACTGCCCTGGAGAGAAGCCCATGTAGCTAGGTACTGAGGCATCCTTTCACAAGTCTCATGAGTTTAGAACTAGATATCCTAGTTCCAGTCAAATTTTTAGATGACTGTAGCCTAGACTGACAACCTAACTGCAAACTAATGTAATACCCGAAAGAGGCAGAACCTCACAGCTAAGCTGTTTTGAGGTTCCTGATCCTTTGAGAACAGTATTCAGTGTTAAATATTGGGGGCTGGGAGCATAGCTCAAAGGTTGAACACTTGTGTAGCATGCTTGAAGCCCTAAGTTTCATTCCTAGCACTGCAAAAAATAAACAAACAAAATAAAACAACATGCAGGGTGTCTTAACCTGTTGAGTTCTGTCGTAGTTTATTACACATACATGTCTAAATGGAAATCAAAAGAACCATGCAGTGTATTTTCTGATGGAAAACACAACATAATCAGGCATGCTGAAAGCACTACTAGACCGAATTTCAAATTTCAGTTGTATCCTTAATTGAGTACTAGAACTAATCTTAGTTATCCTGTCCTGCCATTTGTTACTACACTGAGGTCCTCTACTACTCCGCAGTCCCTTTTAATACTGACCTTTCTTCTGTGCACTCTGGTTTCTCAGTCCCATCAATCTCAATTTCTATTAACTCTTCTGCTTCTCTTTTAGTCATGGTTGAAGTATTTCAAGAGCTCAGTCCTGAAAGAGTTAAATTATCAGTTTTGAAATTATCTGTGTAGACTGAAATGCTGCATAAGATGCAGACAAAACTCAAAAACAGAAGAGGGGGAAATATGAATCCACGATAAAGTTCATAAGCTAACTTTTGTTTAAACTAGTGTTGATGAGCCATCGTCCATCTTAGTCACAGGTAATTGAAGGTACCTCAAAATTGAATGAAGGTTATTTAACTATATTAAAGCATCTCAGATTCAAACTGAAGCTTAACATGGAGATGAACAACTGATCAGCTAAACACTCCACTTTATTAGCAATATTTACTGCAAAGTATAATACTGATATAGAAACCTAATCACATCTAGTTTGTTACAAATTATAAACGCAAACACAATATTTCAAAATAGTAAAATAAGAAAGAAGCTATAAATATGCACACTAATGCCCAAATTACCCCCTAAAATTTTTTAAAGATTTTTTTTTCAGATCTGGTTGTATGTTAAACAAACTATTACCTCAGTTTCTAATTATCTCATGCAAATTACTACTTTAAAAGACCAAGACAAAAAAATATTAAAATTTTTAAAATGTCAAGTAAGGCATAAAACAACTAAAAATATTGATACGCCTTTATAAACCATTTCACGATGTTAATGCTGCAAGTTCCAGGCTGTTACTCACTGCCTGACTGCAAGTCAATACTTCTACACAGCACCTTCAGCCTAGAGTTTGTGGTTTACTCCTAAATCTAAAACACATGTATTTCCCTAAATTTGGTGACCTAACATTTGTTGAGTAGTTTGTGCTCCTTACAAGACTTGACAAAATGAATTCAAATATTGATCCCTATTAACAATAACCTTTAGTTACTCAGTGCCAGGTGGTGCCTTCAAACGTTTCACACAGGAAAGTCTCAGTGTGGGCTACTTTCATATGAACATTATCCAGAGGTTAGCTAGACTAAACTTCCAGTCACTTGATACTGTCACTTTAGATGTGTCATAGCAAGGCATGGTGGCATATGCCTCTAATTGCAGCACTTGGGAGGCTGAAGAAGGATGACTCCAAGTTTGAGTCCCTCTTTGGCAATTTAGTGAGACCTTTTGTCTCAAAGTGAAAAAACAAGGTGGTTAGCTAAGTGTGAAGTACCAGGGTTCAACTCCCACTGCCCCAAAAAGAGCAGGGCAACAGTGACACATGCCTATAACTCCCACTTAAGGAGGCTGACACTGAAGGATCACAAATTCAAGCCCAGCCTGGCAAATTAGTGAGACCTTGCCAAAAAAAGATTAGGAATACAGCTCAAGAGTACTGGGTCCAATTCTTAAGACTACAAAGAAAGATCAAAAAACAGACCAACAGAAAAAGAACAGATGCATTTACCTAAATATACAAGTGGGACCAAATTAGGGTTTGTACAGACAGACTCTGTGTTATATGTACTAGCACAAAAGCGAACTCTTTCCTGGACTAGTCTCTTAACAGGTTCACTATTTGCCCTGCCCCCAGTCTATACCATCAGTACAACAGCCAGTGTGATCCTTTTTAAAAGCACTTTGATCACAGCACTTTCCGAACAGATTCCAGTCACAGTAAAATCCGAAGACTTCCCAGTGATCTTCCCCCATCTGTATCCCACGATTGCTGATTTCTTCTTCCACGTTAGCTTCTTTGCACGTTTATGCCCTATGTTCTTTACTTCTGCCTGAAACTCACCTGCCCAATACCCTTCTGCCTGAATCTCAGCTGCTCAATGAAACTAAATTTGCTCCATTTAACTGTTCAGTCTCTTCTTTACATTTTTCCCACAGTACCGACCCTTTAAAATACTATGTCATCATTATATTTACTCCTTCTTCCTCTGTTGGATCTTTTTCAAAGTGCAAAGACTAAAAGTGGCCTAAAAGTGATAAATTGGGTTTGTCTGGACTAGGAACTTCTCTACTTTCTTGCATTGCAAAAGGCTTTACTAGGTCTTAACTTTTCAAGAGATTGAGGCCTCTATGGTACAGTAATTAATACAGAACCAATGAATCTGTTAAATTACATAGCAAAGGGGATTAATGCGATAGAGGGAATTAAAATTACTAATCAGTTTGACTTTAAAATAGATATTACCTGGGTATGATGGTTCATACCTGTGAATTCAGCAGCAGATTCTGAGGCAGAAGGTTCACTATGAGCTCAAGTCTAGCCTGAACTATATAGCAAGACCCTAACCCAAAAACCTCAATCCAAACCAAACCAAAGACACACAAAAATAGAGATTACACTGGATTATCCTGACGAAACCAATGAAATCACAGAGTCCTTAAAAGTACAAGAGAGAACTGGAAAAGAAAGCTAGAATGAATCAATGTGAGAGTCAGTCAGCCACGAGTTGAGGATGGAGAAATCTAGTCACAAGCAAAGGGATGGGGTTCTCCCTTGGAGACTCTAGGAGAAATGCAGCCCTTCAATACCTGACTTAAGCACATTACAACTCCCAAATTATGAGATACTAAGTCAGTGTGCTCACCAGTTATTAACTAAGCAGTACTTCCAGTTTAAAAATGACAGTAATACTCCTAGGGTCCCATTATCTCCAACTACTAAACAGCTGGTTTTCTGACAACTTCAATCCGTAAACAGCTGGCACCTAAATCTAGTCTGGTACAAAAATGACCTGATTTCCTTCATTATTAAGTTGCACCAAAAGGAGAAAAAATACTAAGGAGGCAGAGCTCTACACTGGAGAATATAAGTATCACAGATACCCAGCACGTATATAGGCTTCAGCATTTCTCTCTTTGGGAGTATGAAAAGATGAAGAATCTGACTGGTATTAGCATAAAATGTCTCCCCCCTGCCTGACATAGTGGTGCAAGCCTGTAATCCCAGTACTCAGGGCTGAGGCAGAAGGGTTACTGTGAGTTCAAGGACAGCCTGAACTGCACAGTGAAACCCTGTCTCATAAAGATGAGAGAAAACAAATTAAAACGAACAAACAAGTCTTCCCTCCCCGTCTATCTCTTAACTAGTGCTATGTGAAAAATGGATTCATCTAAAGCAAAACAGGTAGTGATCATTGGAGACCTACGCTGTAGAACAATATAAACTTCAATGTAATAAAAGCAGAACTATTTGTTCAGAGTTGTATAAAATACTTTAAAGTGTTCCACACCTTTAGTGCTCGATTAATTGGTTTTGAAGAAATGAATTTCATTAGGGCTATTTCACACCATATACAATGGATTCCAGATACCTTAAAGGCTTAAGGGCAAGACTATAAAGTCAATAAAACAAACCAGGTTATTTTTTCTTCTGTAACCCAAGAACACAATGGGACTTTTTTAAATTCCCCAAAACATAAACATAAGACATTTTATTACACAAAGATTAAGATTTATGTTCAATACACAAATTACACAGTGAAAAAAGATCTCCCTAACACCTAAATGACATGGGACTAAAAAAACGGAGTAGACAAGAATCTTAAGATGAATTTAAAAAATGAATTAAAAAAAAACTGGAACAAATTAGAAAACCAGGGAAAACACAGGTAAAGGAAATTCAAAGAGAAACTCAACTGACTCAGGATACAAGGAAATGCTTAACTTCAAATCATTAAAAATGCAATTTAAAACAAGAAACCAGAACTTTACCTGTGTGCACATACATGCACACTCACATGTACTCAGGGCCAGCTTTAGAGAGCTGAGTAACAAAAAGAGGTAGTAGGGGGATGGGGACCTAAAACTCAGTTTTGACAGAAGTAGGTAATCCATAGAAAAATCTTGCAGTTCTCAAATCAAGCATACTTATTCCTATGACCCAGCAATCTCACTGCCAGATAAGCATTCCAGAGTTCTCAAATTACTTGACATTGTGTTAGTGTAGACTCACTAGTAGTAGTCAGGAGCTGATGCAGTTCAAGTTTTTATAGTAAGAAAGTAGCCGTAAAAGAAAGACAAAAAGGACATAAAACTAGATGTTAGCACCTGTCAGAAATATAGGAAGAATGTCTACACAAAATAAGCCTTTTTTTTTCTGCTTTGGAGACTGGTTCTCACTACATTGTCCAAGCTGGCCTGGTACTCCTGGCCTGAGACAAGAAATACCCCTGCCTCAGCTGCTGAATATCTGGTAGTGCTGGAGAGCTCCACAGCTCCCAGCTAAATAATCTTAAAAAACTGTTCTATTCAGAAAAAGTAAGAAACATGGCTTATAACCGAGTAACACTTTAAATTATCTGCTTTTTTTTTTTCCAGAGCTTTACATGGAGGTCCATTTCCACTCTTATTTCTAACTCATTCAAAGATTAGAAAATAAAAGGATTAGCAGGGGGGTACACCCCTGTAATCCCAGCACTTGGCTGAAGGATTGTGGCAAATTTGACACCAGCCTGGCTACAAAGTGAGTGCATGGCCAGCCTGAACCGAATAAGGAGACTCTATCTCAAAAAAACCAAAAAAAAAAAAAAAAAAAAAGTTAGAAAATTTTCTAGGAATTTTGGAAAAACAGAAAAGTATTGTACATAAAATGACTGGAAACTAAGAAATGGCCTTATTGGCTTATTAGCAGGAGAAATGGGGATTTCTTTTAGTACAAGCACTAGGAATTGTTAGAAGAAATTTATGTATGGTCTATCAAACATAAATGTAAGACTAGTTCCCAGAGTTGCAAAGTCAAAGGGAAAAATGACCCTCATGCACTTGTAGAAAAATCACGTCAATCTCTGAATTGATTTTTCTTGCTTTTTCTCAGTTCTAAAAATTTGGCTTAAAAAAGCAATGTAAAAATTTGGGAAACTGTCTAATCCTTTAGTATCAGTGATGGAGACTGTTTTAGCTCTTTTTCTGGAACCAAGTCCTCAGAATTTCATGTCATTACTTAAGAAAACCAAAACATTTCACCTGACATACAACTTTACATAAATTGACGCTTGATTTCTAGAGCTTAGGATCATTTTTCCTGAGTAACAGATAAATGTAAGTGCAGACTGGAAGCAGAGAAATCATTAACCCAAATTTAACAGGCACTTTTAAGTATCCGAGGAAATGAAAAACCATTTTTATTGTAAAAAATTAAAGCTACAACATTAAGAAAAAGCATTTTGCTTGTGCATGTGCACAAATATGATGAAAGGGTAACAGCTGATGACCCCCAAGTGAAGGATTTATGCGTGCTCTCTAGATGATGTTTTCCAGTTCTCTGTAGGTTTGAGGTTTTATAAACATTTAAGACTAAAGTCATCAGTCTTAACTTCTCAATCCGTGCAGTCTCTAATGACTTGCTTCAACCGAACATGTAGCTCATTGTCTGTTACTCTGTAACTATTAACCCCTAGAGATACATACTTTTGGTTTTGTCTGAGACAGGGCTTCGCTTTGCAGGGGAGGCTGGCCTTGCACTCATTTTGTGCTACAAAATGAGTTCAGCCTCCACTGTATAGCAAAACCCTGTGTCAAAAAATTATCAAAAAAATCACTATCCATCATCTTAGAATGCCACATTGAGCATTGTCTTTCCTGCCAATCAAACTGGGATCGCCACATCCAAATATGTACATTGTAGTACCCAGAAAACAGAAGGTTGGCCAGCTGCATGAAGCCGCTGTGGTCTCCCTGGCTTACTTCCTGGTTTCAGAAAAAAAGGCATCATGTTAGCAGGTGGCACGGAGAGCTGTGAGCCCATCCGCGTAAGGGACTCATGGGGCGAGAGTCCGAATCGCCGCCGAGTCCGTCCGGCAGGCTGGGGCCGCGTTTCCCAGTGAACCCAGGGACATCAGGACGAGGCCGACCGCGGAGTGAGCAGGCGGCCGCGGCCGCGCCCGGGAGAGAGCCGGGAAGAGGCGGCGGCGGAAGGCGACACTGAGGGCCGCGGCCCCGGCCCCCCTCCCCACCCTGGCGCTCCCGCCCCTCCCCACCCGGCTCCCTCAAGTCTCCACGAACGGAAATGGGAGTCGTGGCGTCGGGGACCAGCGGAAACAAAACACAGAGGCGGCAGCGGGGGGGCCGCCGGGGGAACAGGCCCCGGAACGCGGACCCGCGCGAGCCCGCGCTCCCTCCTCCCCGCGGCCGCACTCACCCGCTCCGGAATCCGCCCCGTTGCCCTCGCCCGCACTCCGGAGCCGGCTGATAGCGGCAGCGGCGCGGGCTCCACGTGCGGCGCCTCTCTGGTAAGACCTGCAGCCGCCGCGACGCCAAGGGTACGGCCCCCGGCCCTTCCCGCGGAATCGGCACCGAGGGTTCCAAGCCCTCTCCCGCCTCCCAGGCACCCCCGGGCCCAGGACTACAACTCCCAGCAAGGTGTGCGACACGAACGCCGGAGTGATGGAAGCTTACGAGGCAAAACGCCCCACTCTGCTTTGTTTCACTGTCTCTCACTTTCCCTGCACAGTATACACTCAACATCCCCAAGAAACCGGACACTCAATCTGAATGGAGCTTGAACTAGGAGGGGGAAAATAAAAATGCCGATGTGCGCATGCGTACAGAGCAGTGTGCCCAAAATGAAAAAGTGCGTGTCAAATTAGGAAAGATGGCGGAATCTTCGCCAGGGGACCCGGAAGCACTTACCCTCCACTTCCTCCTCCTCTTCGCCTTCTGTCTCACCTAGAGCTGTCCGGTCGCAGACAGTCTCCGAGACGCTTCCTGTCCGGTAAGCGTCGAACGACTGGAACGGTGACCCATAGTGCATTGCGATGGCCCGCAGGCGTGAGGGGCGGAGCCAGGGCCGGAAGTAGAACGGTAGAGGCGGCGGTGGCTTTGGGAGCTCGGGACTGAGTGCAAGGTGACTGGGAGGGTAGTTGGACCGGCATAGCCTCCTGGGACGGGGATTCTGGGTTGCTTCATAGGGTTCAGACTGCCCATCACCCTTCCCCTAGTAGGAAAAGAGGGCGGCCCAATGTCCTTGGCACCTTCACGGTGTGTCCCGGGGTCACTGCTGACCTCGGCGCTTCCAGGTCTTGACGGCTGCGATGAACGCGGCTCCCGTGTGTGGGCGCACCGGGCAGGCGGGAAACCCAAGGGTCCCGGCTGGCAGCCTGCTTGGGGCCACCCGAGGTCAGACCTCCGAACCCGGGCCTGGCGGGCAGTCCCACCTAGGGGAGGGAGCGGGGCGGGGTGCGTCCCACCTAGAAACCTTCAGGCAGCTCCGCGGGTGAAGTTGAGGACTGTGTTCCCTAGAGGCAGCAAACTGGTTTGGCTGGCCCTTCGTTACTATAAATAACTGAAAGGTGCTCTGTCTAGGCCTCTGTCCTAGCTCCACCTCCATCCCTTGCTGATGTCCTCCCCAGTCTTTTTGTTGTTGTTAAGTTCCTAAGAAAGGCTCTTCTAGGACCTGATCGTATTTGAATAGAGAACTTGTCACAGATGATATTTTACACCTATCTGGGTACTGCCCTGCTGTCTGCGTGATGGTGGATAATTCACACTCACTGCCTTATCTGTGACAGCATGAAAGGGAATAAAGGATAAGCAACAGATTTTGATGAGATTATGTATGTGTTCATTTTGTTAGAGGAGATTATAGAATTTGGGAGAGGAGAGCTGTTGGGAAAGAAAGGGTTCAGGAAAAAGGTCAAGTTAGAAGTGTTTGGGGAATCATTAGTACTTAGATGGTAGGTAATTTAAAAAACCATAATGACTTTACCTGTGCTGTATAGTAGGAATAACATGATCTCAGCAATCAGCTTTAGAGCAAATTAACTTTGGATATGTGGGCAATTTAATGACCTTTCTGAGACATAATTTTATTATTTGTAAAACAGAGATAAGAACACTTTTCCTTAATGTGGTTTTAAGAGTGCAAGTGGGATATATTCAGCGCTGAAAAATGTTAGGTTGCCTTACTGTTGGGTGTTAAGCGTTTCCTTAGGTTGCCAGAACGTTAAGTTGGGCAGTATTTTTACATATTTGTGTTGAGTCAGATTCTGCTCTGTAATCTTGGAACAGGTAACATCCAAGGTAAACTCTGAGTTTCTCTATGTTACATGAATGAAGATGGTAGTAACACCTTATAAGGTCATTTGTTATGTTCTTGTAGTCTTTTCTCAATTACTTTTCTCTGATAAGGTATAAGAGTGATACATGAATTCTGTAATTTTTTCAAATGGTTGCCTTCTTCTTGACTAGTGGAGGATCTCTTGTTGATTGGTATCTTCCATAGTTTTTACGTTATTCCAGGGTTTGTCAACATTGGCACTATTGACAATCTGGACAAGTTACTGTGGGGTCAGAAGCATCCTAGGCCTCTGTCCACTAGAGGCCAGTAGCACTAAACCTAATCAGGACAACCAAAAATGTTTCAGACATTGTTTTCTTGCAGATAAAAAGTCTTTCCTTTTCTATCCTTTCTCTATTTCAGAATCGTGGAACTGTGCCGTTTTGTAGCTATTGCTTCCCAAGCTCTCAGTGGTAAAAGGCCAGTTTTACCCTCCTCAGTGGACACTTTTGAAGAATATAAAAGTGAATTACCAGAAAACTGAGGAAAGAAAAAAAAAAAAAACTTGGCACACATAATACAAATTCCCATTTTTTAAATTACTAAGTTCAGTGCCAAAATTACTTTGCTGAATTGCCATAAAAGCTTATTCCCAATTTCTCTATACTGTAGATCAGTAACAGTTTGTATACTTCTGCTGGTCCATTCTCATAATTTAATAGAAGTAGAGGGCTGGTATGATAGTGTTGATTATTAGATAATTTAGGAAGGGACCTGGGAAACATGTTAGTGTGTCTGGTTTTGCCTTTAAGGTTCAGAAATGCTTCCAGAGTAACTGAGTGCCGTGGCACATGCCTGCAATCCCAGCTACTCAGGAATTTGGAGCTAGCTTGGGCAACATAGTGAGACTAATTTTTTTTTTAAAGAGGGGGTATTTGCAGCTATAGTAAGTTGTAAATCTTTTATCACCTAATTTAAGGCTCAGTAAGTTCTTTCAATGTGTAGACTTAGGTCTTTAGCTGAGAGTAAACTAGTAATTATTTATGGCCTCCTTAGTCCTTTCTTTTTGGAATTTCTATTTGTATATATCTGTTGTACTTTGAAATATTTTACATTTGATCTTTAAATCACTAAAGCAGATCTTAACAGGGATCTTACTCTTTTGATTTTACTCTTTACTGATATTTTGTAAGTTAGGAAAGTAAGTTATTTTAGTTCTGGGAAATCTTTTAATCTTAATTTTAAAATTTAGACTTTCAGGATTGAGGGTGTAGTTTAGTGATAGACTACTTAGCATGTGTGAAGCCCTAGGTTTGATATTTAAAGCACCAGGAAAAAACAATAGATTTTTATCTCCTTTACAAATTCTCTTCCGTTGATTAGATAAAGGTATTTTTCAATCTTTCCCCCATTTCTTTTGGGGTTCAGGTGGGAGGTGCTATTTTTCTTTGCTGCTTCTTTTGGACCTTGATTTAGTTGTTACAGTGTTCTTGAATGGCTGGTGTTCTGCAGCTGGACAGGGGCTGTAGGTTTCCATTAAGGTATTATTAGCCTCTGAGGAGTTATCATTCCTGGCCGAAGCACCTATCTTTATTCCCTGCCATTTGGCCTTTTAAAGGGTCAGAGAAACTTGCACGTTGATTTGGGGGCAAGTTTTCTTTTCCTACTAGCCATGAACAGTGTTCTGCCCCGTACTGTTTCCTCTGGCCCAAGACTTAAGTTCATGGGAAAATAAACTCCAACCCAATGAAAGTCTCCAATGAAAGACTTTGTTCTTTCATTCAGGCTTGAATTTTTCCTGACTGCTTCGGGTTCGTAGGGCCCATAGGTAAGAAGCAAAAGATTTGCAATAGGGAATGAGGGAAAGGGAAATATGGTCTGGTTCGGACAGAGTTCTGGTATGATTTAGTTCTGTAACAGAATTAGAGTCCCACCTTGTGATATATTGAGAGTGTTTTACAGCAATGTGTTAACATTCTGGTGCTTGTTTATAGTACTGCAAAATCATCATGATTCTTCAGCGGCTCTTTAGGCTTTCTTCTGTTGTCCGGTCAGCAATCTCCGTCCATTTGCGAAGAAACATTGGTGTCACAGCGGTGGCCTTTAATAAGGAACTCGATCCTATACAGAAACTCTTCGTGGACAAGATTAGAGAATATAAATCAAAGCGACAGTAAGTGGATAATCAACCACTGTGTAAAAATAAATATGGATAGTATGTGAGCTTTAAGTCCCAAACTTTATTTTCTTTATAAGGAATCCAAGGGAGAAATTCATTAAATCTATTATCATTTAAATACATATCTTTTAAGGTTGTTATTTTGAACTGAGTTAACTTACAGAAGTACATAGAATCTTGGAAGCTATTTTGCATCTACTTGGACATGATTAACTTAAGTCCATAAAAACTAATAAGGATAAAATATAAGCAAATTATTCTGATTCTCATAATGCCCTCTCTGTGACCTCCCAATTTGGGAGGAACATAAACACCATTATTTTTTGTTTTTCTTTGAGGCCATTTGCGTAAGAGCACAAGACTCTACAGTGGCATGCATTAACTCCAGGAACATCATGATTACAGAGCTGTACTGTTTTGGAGATGAATGGCCACCTTTGTGATTATTAGGTCCATGCTACAAATCTTAGGAAAAGTAGTGTCTACTTTCAGTTCCATTTTCTTTTCAGTTAGTCATCTACCTTGTATAAAGTACTGGGCTGTTAACTGTGGTGGACCACACTGAATTTTTATAGTCTTAAAATGTAATAGGGGTAGTAAGCTTATGAACAAGAATACAGAAGGGAAATGGTTTAGGCAAGGTCATACCGCACTGCGTGTAAAGTTAATAGGAATGTAAATTTTAGCTGAAGGCATTTTGGAAGGCTTCGCTGTATTAGTTATTGTTTTATCATGGCTTTGAGGCCGGTGTGGAGTCATTCATCCCTCTTGAGAATCTCATTAATAGCTTATAAGTCATCTTCACACTTTAAAGACAAACAAAAAAATTGCAGAATTTGTTTCCGTGACTTTGCTTTTAGCTTGAAAAGATTCTGAGATATGCAAAAGCCTATCAGCAGATACCCACACCAAGGGATCAAACTCCGGACAGGTATGAAGGTAAATTGGGGCAGGAGGAAAAAAAATGATGTCAGCTAAGGGGTGAAAATTAGAGAACACAAAATACATTGGAGGACTTGTGTAATTTTGTTTCCCTGGAAAATAGGGTGCATGAAGAATATAATAAACAATAACAATTGATTAAAAGTAATGAGGGAAAGTCCTTAGTGTTAGATTGGCAGTTAGGATGTGTGTGACCAACATTTGTAAGCAATTAAAGGTTTTAAAATAGTATAGTGGCAATACACAAGATTGCCCTGAATTAGGAAAATAATTGCTGTGTGGTAGGATTGCAATGAGAAGAGAACAAAGACGCGCTATGTTAGGAAAACATAAGCATTAAAGAGAACAACCTCTGGTTTATAGCAGAAGGCACATAAAAGTGATGGAATCAAGATGTTAAGAGACAGAACTAATCCAGTGACCTGGTGGAGAGGCAGAGGAGAAGGAACAAAGATAAGCCAAACACCCAAAACCAGACTTTTGAGATTGGGTGACTAACAAAAATGTTTTGCCAGTACCAAAACTAAGGAGGAAAGCTAGTTGGAGGGATTAAAAAAGGTATTAAGATACCTTGTGCTCTGTAGACATTGTTAATAAAATTGTTACAACCTGTAAATGTCCCCATTTTATAATGAAAAGTTTAAGTTTGCCAAGAAATACACAGTTCATTAAACAGATACGTAGAACTGATTGAAAAATTGGTCTTCTTTCCAGAGGTGTTGTGGCATCTTGGTTTTGAGCCTGTTCCCTCTCTAACTGTCCTGAAAAGTTCATCTGATAAATCAGTTCTTAGGAATGCACTGACTTCATTAAATCTAAAGTCTTTGGTTTGTGCAATCAGCCTCATGGGGAGGTGTTCTAGCATGGACCCTGCCTGGGCTTGGATCTGCCTCTGCCATTTATTAGCTCTGTAACCTTGGGCAGTTAACTAACCTTGGAGTTATAGTTTCTTTATATGTAAAATGGGGGTGACATAATAACAGTGCCTATTTCATTGGCATTTAAAAAGATAAAGCAGTTCCATAAATTAGCATGCTTCATTGTTGCAAAGTGAAGCAAACAATTGTCTCCAGGGTCTCTGCTTTGTCCTAGTCACTTTGCAAAAGCCTAGGGAGATAATAATAAACAAGAGGGACAGCAAGACTCAAGGTCAGGTCGGATGTGGTGGCACATGCCTGGACTCCCAGCACCCAGGAAGCTGAGCCAGTAGGATCATTGCGAGTTTGAGGCCCATGTGATCCACGTAGTGACTACATAGAAAAAACTCTGTCTCAGAAAAACAAAACAAAAAGACATTAAGTTGAGGAAGTAGATTATTTGTGGCCCTTTTTTCTTATAAAAGTGAATATTAAAGTTAGAATCAGTATCATCCATCAGTAACCATTATATTGTGGGGACTTACTGTTTCTTCTGAAAGCAGTTGCTAAAGCTTTGTGCATACTAGAGCTGGAAGACAGTTCTTAGAGTGTCTGGTTGAAGGCTCTATAGTGTTTAGAGTTGTACTATCTGTTTTGGTAGCCTTTACCCACAAGACTATTAAAATTCTATTTTTAATTCCAAGTAAGTATAAATAACAATTCAGTTCTTCAGTCACCCTACATATTTTTCTAGTGGTCATGTGCAGACATGGCTAGGTGCAGCATTTCTGTAACAGGAATTTCTGATGGGCAGTATTGACCAAAAATAAAGGATCTATAGTAGACACCATGTACTGGTTAGCCAGGTGCTGCCTATGTCTGATCCCAGCTGGTGGCAGATGCCTCAGATCCCAGCACTTGGGAGGCTGAGGCAGAAGGATTGCAAGTTTAATTGTAGTCCATCCACTTAATGATTTGGCAGGACCCTGTCTCAAAATAAGAAGGACCATATATGTAACTGAGTTCAATCCACACTACCACACACACACAAATTAAATTCTTAAGCTGGGCATGGTAGCAAACGCCTGTTATCCCAGTACCCAGGAGGCTGAGGCAGAAGAATTGCTGCAAGTTCAAGGCCAGCCTGAACTACATGGTGAGACACTGTCTCAAAAAAAATAAATAAATAAATTCTTAAATTGGTCTGTATCTTTTGGTAGAATTCTTTAACATAAATTCTCTGGTTTTTTGAAACTTGGGATATGTGGTAAAATGTTATGACCCTTAAAGGAATGTTCACTTTTAAATTTTTTTGGTTCTTGGGTTACCATTGATAAGGCAGTAATATATATGACACAAATTTTCTTCAGAGAATTATTACATTGCTGTTTGGTCCTGCTGCTGCTGTGTTGCTCTTTCCAAAATGATACTGTGTTGCTCTTTCCAAAGCACAACTCTAATTTTGTCATTTTATTGCTCAGCAAATTAAATCTAAACTGTTAGGCTCAATAGTCCAGGCCTCCCATGATCTGGGTTCTGGGGTTTTTCTGTCTACCTTAGTAACATTCACCTTGTACAGCCAGTGCTTTACCACTACAGTGTCTTTGTTTTTTTTGTCTCAAACTCAAATCCAGCCCAGATGACAATTGTCTCAATTGCTTTTGGTGGTTTTGGCTTTTTGAGACACTATGTAGTTCAGGATGACCTTGAACTCACTGTATAGCCCAGACTGGCCTCAAACTCCACATCCACCTTTACTAAATGAGGTTTTCCCTATTAGCTCAGCAAAGTGGTCTTTCCTCAACTTGGACTTTTGTTAAGCCATATCTTTTCAGGTTTCCCTGAATTTTCAGTCTCTGAGTGTTGGGACTACCAGCTTATTTTTATTTTTTGGTGCAGGAGATGAACAAAGGGCCTGGAGTGTAGTAAGCATGTGTTGTACCACTGAGCTCTACTAAGATGGTTTTGTTTTTGAACAAGCTCTCATTTTATAGTTCAGGCTGTCCTAGACTCACTTTGTAGCTCAGCCTGGCCTTGAACTCTTAGTGATCTTCCTGCCTCAGCCTCCTAAGTGCTGGGATTTGAGGCATCTGCCACCAGACCTGGCAGCCCTAAGGTCTTTTAAAGGCCACATTGATGGCTGACATAATAGCAGATGATAATAGATAACACTAAGCATGCACTGTATGCATTATTTCTTTAATTCTTTCAGTGTTCTGTAGGCAGGACATTCATTTTTAGATGTGGAAGCTAAAGTTTAGTGCTTTGCACCTTGCACTAACTGGCAGAGCTGACATTCAACTGGAGTCAGCCCGTTCTGCCAGGCCCCACAGACACCATGTTAAAAAACTCAGACCCCGAGAGCTTCTCAGTATGTATCTTTGAACTAACAGAGCTTGTGTATTAAATTTGTTTAAAGTTACCTTATATATGTGAAACCTCGTATTAAAAGAGTCACATTGAAATTTAGGTAGAAATAACTTGTTTTATTCTGAAAGTCTACTTTTCCCTACATGCTACCTCTAAAAGATTCACTGGTGGTGCAGAGTAATTTTGCTTTTTTAAGCTAGTGCATAGTTAGTTTTTATTTGCCCCTTTATGTCACAGGACATCTGGAGGACCTGTTGATGTTGGCCCAGAGTATCAGCAAGATATGGAGAGAGAGCTTTTTAAGCTGAAGCAAATGTATGGGAAAGCAGACATGAACACATTTCCGACCTTCAAATTTGAAGGTAAGTTTCTGATCACAGATAGATTTTTATAGGGAAGTGTTTCCAGTGGAGAGTATTTCTGCTTTTTTAATTGTTTAGAGGATTAAATAACAATTATATGTAAAATTTATTAGGACCGCATTATGTAAAAGCTATCAGGTAAATGTTTGTCATTAGTATAAGATTACATAAGATTGAGTGGTGAGGTTCTAAAATCCAGATGCTTGTCTTTGATTCCTGACAGTATAACTTGCTATCTGTGTGATCATCTGACACTTTGGGGGGAGTTACAGGGTTTCCCTCATATATTGGTTGCATTTAAATGTATGGTAGATATTAAGTCAGTAGAGCCTCAGTCATAGCAAGTGTTAAGTGTTTAGCTCTTGTATTTCTGTGTAGATGTTTATAAACAAACATTCATTTAAAAATTTCAAGCCGGGTGTGGTGGCACACTCCTATAATCCCAATACTTGGATCTCTGTGAGTTCAAGACTAGCCTGGGCTACAAAGTAAGCGCAAGGTCAGCCTAAACTGCAATAGCGAAACCCTGTCTCAAAGACAGTAAATACATATGTACGTACGTGCAAACTTCAGAAGATGCGTGAGGTAAACCTTCATTCTAAATAATCCGTATTATTGCTCTGTGGCTAAGCTTGACTAGAATTTTTTCCCTTTTAGATCCCAAATTTGAAGTCATCGACAAACCTCAGGCTTGAAGAGATACTGTCAAGTTGATCTAGTAGTTTGCCATGGATTTGTTTTATAATTAATAAGTATCAGAATAAACATCCATTTCAAAACTGTCCAATGTTCTTTCAATTCTGATTTCAAATAAATTATTTGATGATGCTGAACCTATACTTGAGTGTGTTGACTTCCGTTTTAGGGTTGTTTTTAAATCGCTTTGTCTGGTTATAATGAAGCAGTGGAGACACTGAATAAATTAGGTACAGCTTGCCCATTAGCTGTTCCATGTTCTTCTCAGCGCAGTGAATCTTGTTTCAGTAGTCCAAACTTACTGCTTATGGTGAGCCACTATTTTCTAAGGGAGTGTTTCCTGTGGCAAGCTGTTATCCCTTTCCCAGAATATGAAGCTATAATTTACTTTTGTTTACTTATCTAATAATTTTTTTGTTGTGTGTTTTCAAAGTGGATTTAAGGTTGGCTTTGAACTTCGATACTCTTGCCTCAGTTTCTCAAGTGCTGGAAGAAATTTAAAATTTTTGTCATAGCTTTGTCGATACACAAGTATAGTTTTAAGAATTCTCTCCAGATTAAAGAAGCAAAGTTTTGGGACGATGAAAGAGGAGGGTTCTTTAGGCACTTACTTTGAAAAGGTTAAACTAGGGCTGAGGGTGTAGTTTAAGAAGTGTCTCCCTCCCCGCTTCCCCCCTTCTTTCATTTCTGTCTCTCCTGTCTCTTGTTCTCTTTCTCTCTCTCTCTCTGGCAGTCCTGAGAAGTTGGCAGACCTCCAGACTTAAGATACCAGATTCTAATTTTAAGCAGTTAAAGAGCCAGCCTTGCATCTGCAGATGGTAAGAGTGTAATTTCCTGGATTTTATTGAACAGTAGGTGGGTGACTCTTCCTCTGCACTATTAAATGGTTCTAAACATTTTAACCAGTTGAGCTATTTTTATTAGTGTAAATTTTAATCAAACAAAGCCAACCGTTGGATGAAGGAAGTTCTCCATGAAGTTATATTGAAAAACAGTCATTCCAGATTTAGTTAGATTAAAATCCTAACTAAAAATAAATTGAATCAGGTTACAAACAGCAACAATATTAAAATAAAACAAAACTTGTTATTAAAGATTGTTGAGCCTTAATCTTTGTACAACACAATTTCACTGCAGGAAAATGAAATGAAATGAAAATGCTCAAAGAATTACAGTGGGATTTTACCAGTTGTTAGTATTCAAGTGTTTCAAATAAAAAAAGCAAATGGAAACAAATCTGGATACCAGTAACCCACAGATAGGTATACTTGTAATAATTAGAACAGCGTTCATACTGTGTCCTTTGTATAGAAGGCATTCTTTACAAATGATTTTTTTACTTAGGTGTATACAGAATTTTAAGATGATACATGATATATAGCTGGCACAAAAACAGCATTAGATGTTTACATTGCATAAAATAAAGCCTCTAGACTTTGATGTCTTTAGAAGACGCTATTAGTAAAATTAAGGCACCACATCATTTTTCTCTAGAAATACAGATTCCTGTGATTTAAATTGAAGTAGTTGATCACATGTGATTTATGTATGCCGGAGGAGGCATCCTAGAATCTTTATCTTCATTCCCTTGGTACTTGACAAAGCAAGCAAACATTCCTTAGAGCAAAATCTCTCAGTTAAACCATAGGCAACATTTAGCCAGATTTTTACAAAAGCTTATAAATAAGATTTTTTTTTTTTTGAGACAGTCTTGCTGTGCAGTTTAGGCTGGCCTCGAACTCACTCTGTAGCCCAGGCTGGCCTGAAATTCTTAAAGTGATCCTTCTTCCGCAGTGTCCTGAGTGCTGTGATTACAGGCGTGTGCCACCACGCCCGATTAATAGGTGTATTTCATGTCATTTGCCACCAAGGGTTGAGAAACTGCCTGTGAGCTATATCTTGACTGTGCCTGTTTCTGTGAATAAAGTTTTATTGGAAAACAGACATGTACATGTGCTTTCTTGTCTGGGGCTGCTTTTGCAATGGCAAGCTCCAGTAGTTCCAGGAACCATATGGCTTAAAATGTGCTTTACAGAAAGTGTCTGCTGACCTGTAACTAATACAGTGACAATTTGACTTTGGGGAGAGAGCCGTATTACAGAAACCAGGCTTCCAGGAAAGTCTTGTGAGTAGCAGTGAATGCCACACATACAGGCATCTTCCCAGGGACCTGGTGCCTAGGCGCACACAAGGTGTTAGTTTTTTCCAGGAATCCTGAGCATCTGCTTTACCTACTGGGTAAAAAATTCGTTTGATACCAAATTAACTATTCTGAATACTGTCAAAGGTACTAAGCGATCTTTGCATCCAGATTTGCCTAGAACAGGATGAACCTTAGGTATTTTGTTTCAATGCTTTTTAAACAGCCTGTCTTATTTTTTATCATTAAAGGAACCATTGGAATTCACTGTAACGTGAGCCAGAGGCCTTTTTACTCAATTCAGAAAACACATGCTATGCCCCTCTCCACCCCGCCCCCCGCCCTTTTTAATTTAAGGCATGATTTCTCACGTGCCTTCTTGGCATCAAGCGGGGTTCCAGCTGTAAGGAGTTGCACAGTGAGTTCATTCACATTTCTCCCCTCCATATTCCTTGCCATAAGAAGGACTAGCAGCCCCCTGACCATAACCATGAAGAACTTAGCCTGGCCCAGAACTTCACTGCCTGGTTTTTAAGGACAGAGAATTGTGAAGTAAACACTCAACAGAGAACAGTATCTGCAAAAGCAGGCAGGCTCTAGCAGCAAGTTCTGACGCTGAGTTCCTTGATTCCCTTCTGAGAGCTTCTGGGGGAAGGGGAAAGAGCAGAGTAAGTCACATAGGTTTGTGTTTGAGGCTCAGAATTATGTCATCGGGAGACGGTGTGTGTGAGGTCTGGTCATCAGCTATTTCTCTTGTTCCTGGTTCTTAGAAATAAAATTAAGTAGGAAATGCAAATCCAACTCCACTGCCTCCCTTCTGTGGATACATTTGTGATCATGAGCAACAGCTTAAGGATTATATTTGGAGGGACAAAGATTCTGTAGAAACGAGACAGGCTTCCTTTTGCATGTCAGAGTGTTTTCTGAAGGCTCCTAAATCAGACTTGCATAGAGGATTGTGAAGTCATAATTTGTGGACTAACTTCAGAATCAGTATGCGACAGTACTGTCTTCAGAAGTTAACGGTTAATATTTCATAAATCCCATATTACTTAGTATTTTGATTTTTTAATCCAGACACAAGAACCCAGATTGTATTTTAGATGATGACAGAACTGTTGAAATAATTTCTGGTTAGTTAAATAAAACTTACAATAAAATACCAATTGGATTTTCTCATGTACATCTTCCCAAATGTAAGATAACACAGAATTTTATAATACTTTAATAACCTGGGTAACAGCCGTAGTTTTGCTGTATCTCAAAAGTGGAATTCTTAAATTATAAAGGATTTTGTGTGCTTGAAGTCCTAGGGAAAGAAAGAAAAAAAAAGTTGAAAAAACAAGTACTAATTCATATTTAAAGAAATACATGTTAAGTCATAACAAAGTAGGTTTACCATAAGATCTTAGAGGTACAAACAGGTATGTATTTAATTAAATCTATTTTATTGGGAATTAAATAGGTAAATACTGGAAGACATGGGACTTGAAATTAAGGGATTAAAAAGGCCGATGGGAAGGGAGGAAGGAAACTATGTCTGTTAGGGCTGTACAGTGGCATCCAGTGAGTAGAGGCCAGGGCTGTCCTGTGCACATCCTACTCAAATAGAGTGGCTTGCAGTTGTCAGGTGACAACTCTGCTGTTGGGCAAAATGGAATTGAAGGAGACTGTAGCTCAGCTGATGAATCAACCAAGAGAAGGACAAAAAGGAAAGGCCTTTCTGATGTAGACACAAAGTGCCTCTTACTGTTTGGTGGGCGGGATTATTTCATTCCATGCTCAAGGGGTTCTTTCTACGGACTCGAAGGACAAATGAGTTAAAGTAACACACTGCCTGGTCCCTGAGAGAACAGGGTGCTCTCAGTGGAGTAAGCTGCAAACTTTGGTGGCTTTTGCGATAGATTGGTTTTAAAAACCAAATGTTTACAGAAAACACTTTATGGAGCAATGAATGCCTCATAACTAGTTCATTAGAATCATGTAAGCATTAAAAATACTGATGTCCACTGATGTACCATGCTCTCCTGAAGAGAAAAATGAGACTGCCCCAAAGTACTCAAATTCCAAAATACTAAGGAAACAACTTCATTTCTCAAGAAAGGATGTAGGCTCTAGAAACATTGGAAACTTCTCTCACCTAACTCCTAAAAACATGACTCGGGAAGTTGACTATCCACCAGAAGAACTGGAAAACCTAAGCCGTGATACTATTTACTGCTGTGCTATAGTATTTATGAAAATGAATGTTCACATACATATCTAAATTATTTTCTCAAAACCATCCGAATTACATGACTACTGCACTTCAAGCATGTCCAAAATATTCTTTTAAGCAATCGCTGAAGGTGTTGCATAGTCCTGAAATTTCCAAGTGCTTTAAATAATCAAAGTTTTAGAATCACAGAGCTGCTGGGAGCAGTCTATTGGGTCAGCTTGCCAGGAGCAAGCAGCTCCTCCACCCTTGTTATACTGTGACTTAATTTCCTCCTGTATCAAACGGAGTTAAAAATGCCAGTCCCTGTGATATTAAGGAGGTAGACTAGTAATAGAAATCGCCATGAGGAAAAACAATAGGATAAAGATCACTTCCTGTAATTGTTCTACAAATGCCAGGTATAGTATATTTATCATGCCATCCCAGGTAGGGGAAGGAAGCTAACATTTATTTAGATTCCTTTAAATACCAGTAGTTGACACTAATGTAAAGTTTATTAGAAGTGCAACTTAATAACTGCCATATAATTGTGTCAGTGCCCTGCCTCATTCCCTAAATACCTCCATTCTGTACACCTACTTCAGCAATACTCACATTTTCACTCACTGTAGTTACATTTGATGTAGCAGTCCCTTTCCTGTTCATGGGATATAAGAGACAATATTTACTACACGGTCACCTCCAATTCTGAGCCCCTATCATTTATGGTATTCCATATCTCAGCTGGAAAAATGTGTATTTATCTTAGCCAGGTAGGAAAAAACTCAACAATCTTAATTGAATTTCTTAAAATTATACACAATATTCACAGGAAAGCTATGCAAGAGTACTAGTACAAATAAATGAAGACTTGTCCCTCTAAATGTAGCCTGAAGCTAATTACACTAACAATTTTTGTGGGATACACAAACAAGAGATTAAATTACAGTGTACTAACATTAAATATTTTGTTTGTTATTGTATATATATATATAGTCTCATTGTATCTGGTCAGGCTGACCTTGAGCTCACAGTGATGTTCCTGCCTCAGCTTTCTGCGTGCTAGGACTGCAGGCATTTTGAAAGTTAGTTATTACTTCAGAATTCATTTTGGTCTGAGGAGTTTCACATGGTAACTAAGATTCCAATAGAAGCTGAATAGATTTTGAATACTACAGATTTAACACACGAGAGGACAGGTATTTAAGAATAAACATTCTCCTTTCCAGATTACTGCCTAGTTTGACAAAGGCATTAGTGGAATGAAACATAAGCCTTTACTGCTAACGTACAAGGCTACCTTTCCTCTGCTCAAAACCCTCTAGTTACTTAGCACGTTACTCGGTAAAAGCGGGAATCTCACAATTGCCTGGGGTCCAAAAGGGGGATGATCTAGGTGGTGGCTGTGCATCTAGGCTGCCCTGCTCTTTCGAATGCATCTCTTTTGCTACTGTTAGTCTTGATCACTGAGACTTCATTTGGGCTTTGTACTGGGACATTACAGACTGAGAGACCAGTGTTGTGCCAGGCTTATTGGAACAGGGAATCAATGACAGCTAAGTCTAAAGGATTTAGATGAAGCCTCGGCAGCTGGGGCTAAAGGCAAGTGCCTTTAGGCCACAGCTCAGGCTGCCATGTCCATTTGTTCAGTAAGGACTGTCCTACATCAATGCACGTAAACTTGGGCTTTGGCAAGCTCATGCAAGTCTCATGCACCACTGACTCCCATATTTCCGCCTCCTGTTATTTCCCCATACTCCAGATGCATATATTCAGTCACTTGTTTATTATCCCTACTTGCAAGTCTGGTAAGCTTAGCGACTGAAAATTCCAGACACTTGCAGACCTTGTCACAACTCCCTTTACTGCTAAGACTGCTCCTCCTGAGATCTATGGTTTTGTAAAAGGAATTCACAACTTTAATCCATCTTGCTCAAAACATTGGAGCCATCTTCCATTTCTTTGCACAGCACATATCCAGCAGATCAGCAAACCGTAAAAACTATATCCAGAATCTTATCACTTCTCCTCTATACACTTTGATACCAGCCACCGTTTTCTCTTGTCTCAGTTATGGCAGTAGCTTCCTGTTTTGCCTGCTTTGCATCTTATCAATTGTTCTTGTCAGAGCAGCCAGCATGAGCTTTGAGGAATTAAGACACTATACCTACCCCTTAGAGCCCTTCAGAGACTTCCTCTTATTTAACTCAAACTCTGCAAAACTGCCTAGCAGAATCTGCATATTAAAAAAATCTGGTCCCTGCAACATCTGTGCACTCATCTCTTCCTTTCCTGCACTCTGTTCCAGTTACACTGGTCCCCTTTTGTCCTTTGGACATTCTAGGCATCATCCCCTGAGTGATTTCCACATCTTCTCTCCCCTCAGCATGAACACGCATAGATCCCTCACAGCTTGCTTCTGTACTTCCTTGAGGTCCTTCTCAGTGAAGCCCTTCTCCATTGTCCATTCAAAAACTGCAATCGCCAACCGTTTGCCTTTTCCCTTTCTTATTTGCTGTTTCTTATAGCATCCCCTCCCCACTCTCTTCTTTCTCCCCCCATCTCTGTCTGTGTCTCTATCCCTGTTTCTGTCTCTTTGGGGGAGGATCTCACTATGTTGCCAGGCTGGCTTTGAACTTGAAATCCTCCTGCCTTAGCCTCCTGAGTAGCTGGTGTCCATAGTACTTATCATAATCTGCATCTCTATAGTATAGGTATTTGTGTATTTTCTGATTTTCTCAACTACACACTACACTGTAATTTATATAAAGCAGTACTTTGTGGGGGTTTTTGTTTCTTTTTTTTGGCCTGTCATATTCACTGTTGTATTACCAATCCCTAGGACAGTGTTGGGCACAAAGTCATTATTTAACTACATGTAAAAAAATGACTAAAATTTATGCAGATTTTAAGTGCATATTTCAAAGAGCAGAACTATGGAAAGACCTGCAAAGTAAAACTAGTGACTATGTTTCTCTTCTAGTGAGCCCATCCTCATTTACATGTAGGCACGAGGCATAGGTAGGATGTATTTCGTGATGAACTGAGTAACCTGCGCCAAATTCAATTTGCATTAAAATCCGATGTCCTACTGTTGACTTTAAATGGACAATTATCAGAATAGTAGATATGATAAAGAGGCATGCATTTAAAAAAAATTATACTTACTGAAAGGAAGTTTCTTCTACAAAAGAAAAAGTATATATCATTATTACAAGAATTAATATGATGTGACAGATTCATTTAAAAATGAATTTTGTCCTTATTTCCTTTTTAAATCTTCAGCCTTACTTGCTGACATGGATATCTTCTAAACGAAGGGCTGGCGAATGTTTTCTATAATAACTATACCACACGTATTTTAGGTTTTATGGGCCAATCAGAGGCAAAATCAGAGATATTACACAAATACTTACAGAACTAAAGAGAAAAAATTTATAAAACTTTATTTATAAATTTCAAAATATAATAATAATGAAACCCTTACAGTACAAGCCTATTAATTAGAATAGAATTGTTTTATCGGAGCAAATAGTTATTTTCATTAGGGTTCAAAGTTAGTATTCCCTATCATTAAATAACAAGTTCTCATCTGTAAAAACCATATAAAATTAGGTAGGAGACTGGATTTGGCCATAGGTCATTGTTCGCCAACCCCTGTCTCAAACAAAGTTTAAAAATATGATTCTCTAGAATAGAGTTTCTGCCAGATGAAAATGAAAGCAGTATTCTTACTAAGTAGTTAGAATCCAACAAGTCAGCTCTTAGTTCAGTATTTTAAGAAACATCTGCTTACTCTTCATTAAAAATAGACAGGTATTTTTTGCAATCATAGATAAGAATTACAAAAATTTTGGAGTATAATCTTACTTGCCTGTACTTTCACTGATGACCAGCAGGGGGACACAGCTAGATTCCATTCATCAAGCTAACATCCGACTAAATACACTATTACGGGTGATGGCCAACCTTGTGGGAGTTTCAATAACAAATAACCAGCCGCAGCACATGTGCCATGGTTTTACCACCACTGCCAGAACAATGCTATTAATTCGTGGAACAGTTATCTTAATTATAGGAAATCTTGAATCAATGTTCCTGGAAATATTTTATGACATGTAAGATCTGCTTATAGATATTATCCGAAATGCCCTTTAAATTTGTTACTTTTTAACCCTAAATTCTAAAATTAATACCCTCTGTAAAGCAATGGGTTTAAGTTTTTGTTTTGTTTTGTTTTTTGTTTTGGTACCGGATATCTAATCCACGATCTCAAGCTTACTAGACTATCACTGAGCTAAATCCCTGGGCCCCTTGGGTTTAAGTTTTTTATACTATAGACTTATTCATGGCTCCATTTAAAAATTCAACTGTGTATATTATTGCCAAGTGGACTTCATGGAGCTTTGAGCTCTCAAGATATTTAAAAACTGGAAATGAAAAAAAGTAAATTAAAGGGATGAAACATTTTAAAATTTTCAACATTTACATCAAACTTACTGCATCATAAAATGGAGTTGGAAGTTAAAAAGGCCTAAACTTTAAGAAGTAAAATGCTTGTTCAAAGGTACTTCTAATAAAAGTATTTATTTATTTATATTGGGGATTGAATCTAGGTCATTTGCACTGACCTTTACCTCAGTCCTTCTTAATTTTTTTAATTTAATTTTTAAAAATTTATTTCTATAGCTTCTTTTCTTTTTAAAAAATTATGCTTATTGGTATATTTTAGGTCTACATAAATGATCACATTTATCACAGGGAATTCGTGCCTATATGTGACTTTAATTTTATTTCTGAGATAGGATCTTGCTGAGGCACCAAGATGCCCAAGCTGGTCTCCAACTTGTGATCCTCCTGCCTTAGAGAGTACTGGGATTACAGACCCGCATTACCATGCCTGGCTGGTTTCTGATTCTGATTGAACAATTCTACTCTGTAGTTATGCTAAATGTGACATTTGACATTCTGCTCCTCACTAATAAAACATTTCAGGGTGAGTTTCAGTGAAATTGCTTCTGAAACTAGAAAGCAATATATATCTTGAGCTATAAAATTCTGGGGCTGGGATGTAGCTCAATGGTAAGGCCCTTGTCTTGAGTGCACGGATCTAGATTTGAGCCCAGCTCCTCCAAAAAAGGAAAGAAAGAAGGGAAGAACAGAAAGAGGCAGGAGGCGTGGAAGGAGGGGGAAGCAGTATATAATCCCTAACTTTAAAGGGTCTTATATGTGTATGTAATTACACTCTAAATATCTGTCTACATTGAATTGTTACGTATTTATGGTGTTGCTTGGTATTCTGCAACAAAAACATCTTTTTTTCTTTGTGGCTACCCACATACTTTATAACCTACTTGTATGTTATCCTGAACATTATCTGTAGCAGAAAAATCAATGAAAACCACACTCCAGAGTTCCTTAGAAGTTCTTAGGAGAAACAGTGTTTCACAAGAAAACTCTACAACTACAGGAAATCATGTATCAAAGAAAGTGAAATTCACTTACTTGAAAAGTAGCCTTTTCTCTGAGCATAGCACACACCGAGACCACATGCACAAATCACTAAGACCACAGCTACTACAGCCGCTACGATGCCACCGAGGCTGAGGTCATCTGTCATGTGAGATAAATCATGCATAAATTCACATCTAATAGATGGATAGATGCTGTCATTAAACAGAATTTGCTGAAAAGGCTCCCTTTCATAGCTTGCTGAGAATATAGTTTCATGTTTTGTAGCCTGTTTAACCAACTTAATTCCAAGACAAGGTATAGAACTGACTGCAAGTGTTAACAGAACTAAGGTGAGCAAGAATGTTAGATTTTAAAGTCTTTGTAAGTCTTATAAGAAGTAAAATGTGTACTATTTTCTGGTATTCATTTGGGATATAATAATTCACAGATCAGGTTGGAAGAAATCCTTAAGTTCAGTGAGTTCAAATATTCTATCACATTTCCTTCAGCCCAAATTTTACTTAAACTTCTTCAACATTGTCATCTGTGATTATTTCATAAATAATGTGAATGGTTTCAAAGAAAGAGTATACCACTGTTATTCTATGAATCTGAATGTCAGAAGCACCTTCTTTCTTGAATCTATATAGGGTGCATGTGGGGGGAAATATATATAATCACTAAACTCTTATCCCACTGAATTTTGGGTGAATTTCAATTAATTAAACAAGCTTTTTACTGTTGCTATTGTCATTTCTCCTTTAACTAATACAATTAGATATTAATACAATTAGATTTCTTGGACCCAAGTTTGGAATGACTATCATAATAGCAACTTATGAGATCTTTTTCCTGGACTGGGTCTATTGCTTAATAATTGGATTATTAACTTGCCAGGCTTAATATTTCTGCAGGTTGTATCAAAGATATCTTCATTCAGGTCATTGATAAAATCAGCACTATGACTTTACTAAAGAAAGAGCTGTTGAACAGACCAGTCGGCACCTCCATTCATGACACAACCTGTTAGCTTGCCCTGTGCATGCGATTCATCTATGTATAATTTCACCTAAACATTTGGGTTACATTTCTGCACCTTGGTCACAGAGATTTCATGAGCCGCACTCTATTTTCACTTACACCTTCTTATTTATTTATTAAAGGTGCAATTCTTCAAGGGGTTATCTCTCCCCTGTGGTGCTAGGGATTAAACTCTTGGCCTTATTGAACTATATATCCCCTAGCCTGGATTCTATGCATATATGTGCATATGTTTTGGGGTACCTAAGGCATTATGCCTTGCAGGTAGGCAAGCACTGAGCTACGTTGCTAGCCCTTTTTACAAAAAAATTTTTCTTATTTTGAGGTAGATTCTCACTCAGTTGCCCAGGTTAACCTCAAACTTTGGGTCCTCCTGCCTCAGTCACAGTAGCTGGGATCACAGGCATACACCACTGTGGTTGGCCTGAGAAAGCAATTGTTAATTAATAATGATTAAATAACTAGGAGAAAACATTAGCATTTTTCTTGACAATAACTATAGGCATTTTAAAATGTATATTTGGGAAATCTCTCTCTCTCTCTCTCTCTCTCTCTCTCTCTCTCTCTCTCTCTCTCTCTCTGTGAAACCGAGCATTGGACCCAAGGAGCATTGTGTCACATCTCTGGCCCATTTTTTAATCTTGAGAACAGGTTTCACTAAATTGCTCAGCCTAGCCTTGAACTTGCAATGATTCTCCTGCCTCAGCCTCCTGAGTAGCTTGGATTACAGCCATTTATCGTCATACCCAGCTTTTTGGGAAAGACTTTCAAAAAAATATTAAGTAAGTGTGCTTATTATAGGACATTTTGGCTTTAAAAGTCTTCCCTAATGCTAAGTGTATTATTAATATTCTCAGATACTTCTGAAATATTTAAGTAATTAAAAACAACAGGTTTAATCTTTTGAAAGGCTGAGTAATCTGACTAGAGTTAAAAAATAACTAATCATTTAATTAATGCTTAGTAAAAAATCAACTCATATTGGCCAGAAAGAGCAGAGATGCAAAAATCTCCAAAGTAAACATACTCTAAGGTAAAATCAAATTAAAAACTAGATGAAAACTCCTGAAAAGCAAACTCTCTACCATTTTCTCTGTAGTAGTCAACAAATGACATCTACATCGTATTTAATTATATAAGGGTTATTGACTGACCAACAGAAAAAAGCTGTCCTGTAGTTCGCAATGGATTTAACATCTATGAAGGAGGTTCTAGAAGCTACCTTCTAACCAACAGCTGTCTTAACCTGTCTTGACCTGTAAGACTATGTCATGGAATAAAATCTGTTACTTTCTTCAGTGGATAGAAGATGTTGAGCAAGTCATGCAACCAACCACAATGGCTTAGTGAAGAGAACAATAAATAATTTTAAAAGAAGGCATCTATAAAAGGAAGGTACTAACTAACTGAAAGGAGCGGAACCGGACAGCTAAGAAAAGATAGGAATGGCATCTGTTGGACTCTCATAACGAGGCAGATTGGAAGTCCACAAATCTGTGCTTCGTTTTGTATATTTAAAAAAAGAGTTGGCTTTTGGGTGGTTAATAGATTCTAGTTTCTAGTTTCTGTTATGTATGTTACTCTGTTATGTATGTTAACACTTGTTACTATATTAAGTTACCAGTGATAATTCACAAGGCGTAAGGATTCATGAATTTGCATTTATTTCAAAAGATGTAAATTTCCAATTGAGGCCATGAAACACTCAGGTTCAACGGATGCATTGATGAACATTAAACTAATTTTAACTCTTGAGTTAACTCATATGTAGAAGGGGTAGATACACAGAAATTGTGTTCAAATCAAAGTGGTCTCACTAGAGAGCAAGCTTACACACTGTATTTGAGGTACATTTATTTATCCTGTACCTCTGTTTCAGGGTACAGTGAAATTAACTCCTCAGGAGCCATTTCCAGCACACCTCTTTCATTGCACAACTGAATTCAAAATGCATAGCTTTCACCACAAGGAATAATTAAATCAAGTTATTAAAAATGAATTTTTGAAACGCAATACTATGCTCTGATGCACATAACCTAGAAAAGCTTCTTAAACACTGATTTTTATTGGATTCTATGAAGCTTATTTTGTGAAATAAATATAATAATGGCAGCTATGTTTTAGAGCAACCTAGATCAATATCTATTCCACATGTCTTTTTAGAAAGCCTACTGCAGGATAAGTATAGCCTAGTATTTCAGAGTACTAAAAAAAATGTCAGCAATAATTCGATAACAATAACTACAGCAGCTAACAGATATATAATGCTCAAAAATGTAACAGTGCAAGTCTAACCCTTTCAAATATTAAATTTTTTTTTTCTGTATTGGGGATCGAACTCATGACCTCTCGCTTGCCAGGCAGGCACTTGTGCCACTGAGCTAAACCCCTGGCCTTAAATATTGAATATTTTAATCTTCACAGGTGACTGAGATATAGAAGTTGAAGAGCTTGCCTAAGATGATATAGCTAATCAATAAATGCCACAGAGGTAAAAGAAATTTCCACTCAGATTCCTGGACCCTCAGCAGTTTACACCCTATACAACATTTAGCTTTTATGTGACAGATTACTCAGGAAAGCACACTGTGAAAACATGAATTTGAAAAATTTTTAAATGTGTTACATATAGTGCTAAATACTCTTGGGTTGATTGGAAAATGGATTACAAGCATAACACTGTTTCTTTGCACTATTAAATATTCCCTCCTATTTATCCTTCCAGTTACTTGGACTTTTCTTTTCCACTGATTCTTCCAAATGCTTGCACACCCTAAGTGAAAACATTTGTTCTTCCAATATGTCATGCTTACCTACTTGCATTAGTTTCTGGGGGCACCTGCGATATCCAACAGAGTTATGGGCTTCACAGGAATATTCTCCACTGTCCAGCTTGGACACTGTGTTAAATTTCTATGTGTGGAAGGAAAACATAAAAAGATTTTTAAACAATAAACCTCTAAGTAAGTTGCTAAAATAACTAGGTCCCTTATAGTTTATCAATTAGCTGGTCTTTACTTTTTAACAGCTTGGGACTTTATATCTTTATAGTTAAGTCAAAAACCTCCATGACTTTAATTAGTAAGAAGCTAGACCTCTGTTTTAGTTTGACAGAAAAGATGTGAGTGTGGAGAAGATGCTTTTCCTCCATGTCCATCCTACCAGAAGCACTGTAGTTAGGAAGGCAGTGGACACTGTTTAAAGTTTACAGTGCTTGAGACAATTACACAGTCTTGGTACTGCTACCTCCTGGGGAAGCCTGCTGGTGTAAGGGTTAATGTACTTCACTAATGCACCAACCAGTTCACAGCAGCTTCAAATAACACCTTCTCTAAGGGGCCACACTTACCACAGGAGTATCTCAGGACCTAGGAGATCTTCACTGGTATTACTTATAGGACTATAACACCAGAAATTTTGCAAATTCTGTACCAATGTATGAATGCCAGACATTTTGAAAACTCTGAAAAGTTAAAGCTCAGCACTTTGTCTTTCTACTCCCTGCCAAAGCAAATTAAAGGCAAAACTTTGATACAATAGAGTCCATAATTGGTAGCACTTGTTTTATTCCCTTGAAGAATTTCTGGAAGGAGTGAATTCAGGTAGAAATGGAAGGAAGAAGGAAAGGGAGACAGGGAAGAAAGGAAAGAGGAAGAGGGGAGGAAGGAAAGAAAGAGAGAGAGAAAGGGACGGAAGGAAGGAATGCAGCCTTGGACACTCAAAGGCTGCTGCCACTGCTGGAAGGCCGGGCGGGTACTCGGGATCTTTCTTCCCCTCTTCTCCTCCTGTCCTCAGTCCCGCAGCTGTCACACCCGACTGCACCTGCGGGAGCTGTGAACCTCTGAGAGCAGGTCCTCATGGTCTCAGTCCCAAGAACACCTGCTCCTAGAGTAGTCGAGGCTTTGATCTGATTAACTTCTTTCCCTCTTTCCTTTGTCTTTATCCTCTGCCTACATCCTCTGCCGTTCTATGTATTTCAACATGATTTGGTAGAAAGCCTTTCCAGCTTGTTTTCTCTGGATGAAACCATCTCTCCGTCCCCATGAAGCCAAAATATTATTAGAATATCCACTATAAACTCAGAGCCGAGGTTCCATGTTCATAACAAGTTGAGCCAAAGCCCTGGAATGGTCTTCTAGCCCATCATGAGTGACAACTAAAAAGAAGTCCCCGGCATCCATGGAGTCCTTGTTCAGACCTCACTGAGGGACCTGCCCTGCTTCAACCCTGTGCACCCCCCTGACCTCCCAAGACACTGGAGGAGGGAGGCTCGCTGAGGAAAGGGAATCTGTATCCTTTCAGATGTGCCTTAGGCTTTTATCACCTGCTCCGAGAAAAAATAAATTCGAAAAGTAAATATAGCCGAGTGTAACGGCAGGTTTTCCACCCAGTTTCTCAGTGGAAAATCACTTGGACCTGCTGACTGCCCCTGCTGACTGCGGAAGGCCAGGGCATGGCCTTATTCGAGGTAGCTCCATCTTCCAGAAGCCTGTTTTGGTTTGCAACTGTATCAATTTGTTTGTATACATCAGAAAATCTAATTTTTAGCTTTTTTGTGGTATTTTTTTTTTTTTGGTGGCACTGGAGATTGAACCCAAGGACAACATACTAAGCTACATCAATCTGACTTTTTTATTTTTTGAGAAAAGGTCTTGAATGTGCGATCTTCCTGCCTCAGCCTCTTCTGAGTGCCAGGGTGCCAGATACACATCACCGTGTCCGATGGGAAGATCTAGTTTTTAATGTTATTTTACATTAATAAAAAGAATGAAAGGACACATTATAGCCTCCTTTCAACGTTCCTTAAAATTGTTACTATTATAGTGTTACCTCACCTTAAGAGTTTCAAGATAATGGCTGCAGCCGTGTTCTCCCACATCAATTTGCTTCTTGTTAGAAATTAGATATTTTTAAACTGACAAAAAAGCTTCCAACCCAATAGCTTCTTTTTTCATACCCACTTCTACCCCAAAAAAGTCACAGAAGAAAAAAGTAAAAATAGTTTTTGTTTTAAAATTTCCTCCCTCTAAGGAGCTGATGTTAGCTGGGTGATGGTAACATCACCTGTAACCCTGGTACTCTGGGAGTCAGAGCAGGGGGATGCCACGTTTGAGCTCAGTTTGGGTAACAGTGTGATTTCGTCTCAAAAACTAAACAGCACTGAGGATACAGCTCAGTGCAAAGGCCTTGGGTTCAATTCCCAGCACTGAAAGAAGAAAAAAAAAAAAAAGGAGCTTATTTCTAGGTTCCCATCGGTATTTGAGAAAGCCCTTTCAATCAAGGCATTTTCAAGGAGGAAACAATAAGAAAATCTGACTAAATTTAATGGGATAGATAGTCGTAGGAAAAAATGTAATGACAGAGACATTGTACCATGGGTCCGTGGGCTTGCTGGGTACCACTGTCACATGAGCAGCCCTGGGCCTAGGGGTCCTCCTGTGAGTCTTCACGTGTATCCCTGGTGTTACTGAGATGCACTTACTCATCTCCAAAGCCAGGAAGGTAGCTCTAGAGAACTGCCTGTTACACAGTCGTAATCCGGACTCATCCTGCCTCAAGTCACTGGCTGGACCCTCATCAGCTTGCAGCTTGCTGTGCTGCCTTCCGCCTCCCATGGCAGCCCTCCACACCATGGCTCTGTGCCAGGACCGAGGTCTTTCCTTCTCCCTCCTCTCTCCACTGAGCAAGCCATGGCGCCAGTCTCCCATTCTCCACCACTTTAAACTGGTAATCTTTTTATCCAAGTGCCAGTTATGAACTTACCAGAGTTCCAGATTTTGTATTCATTGTGTAAGAGCTGTTGGTGCTTCGGGCATTTGGATTCTCTAGCAAACGGTTGCCGTCCTTAAACCATACATATTCAGGAGCTGGATTACCTTCCTTATCTTGACATCGCAGCTCAACCACGGTTCCGCTCACAGCAAAAGAGGGTATTTCACAGGATGGAACTGCTGGAGCCACTGAACAGAGGAAGACAAATGATATCAGCTACTTGTAAGCTAAATACAGACTTTAACACCCCAGGAAAGATGTGCTTACCAGGTACCTGTAATAGAGATGGCCCCAGTTCAACAGATCTCTTTCCTCCTTGGCACAAAGTAGACTACACTGGCCCCTTGCTGTGGGGTGGGAGTCATATGTGTGAGTCCTGGCCAGCAGCATGTGAGTAAATGTGACACAGCCATCCCCAGCCCTAACCTATGAAAATTCCCTTCATGATTGTCCATTCATTCACTCCCCTTGTCCTCTTGTCCTCTCCTGCTACTAAGTAGCTGCAAACACCTATGGGGATTTTGGAAAGGCATGGATCAAAGATGAGGCTGAGTCCGCAATCTCATGAGGTGTAATAATATGGCTCCACCACCAGCCCTGCGCTGGCTACTCAGGCTTACTTAAATGAAAAAGAAATTTATACCACATGAAGCCATTCACTGAGAGTTCAGTGCTTATGTGTTGTAGTAGCAGACACTATCTTAGCCAGTACAACAGTTATCCTTTTTTTTTTTAATCTCTATTGCTTTCTTCATCAACAGTTTTAATGTTCACTGTCAATTGTGTTCAAAAGAAGTCAAATCTGAGGATATTTTCTAGGCATGATACCAAACTAAAATCCTATTCTATCTATACTTGGGCCAGTTAGAGAATATCAACTCCAGAATTCTGCTCTCAGGGATTTGAAAAGTAAAGCAGACTGTATCAGATGGTCTCACTTGAAGGAACCCCGGAAGTGGTTTCTAGGGTTGGTCTTTCAAGGTCCCCATCTTTGGTGTACACACATGTTCTTTCACTTACTGAATCCAGTTCTAACCTCAGCCATATTGTGAAGGGAGGTGGTTGTGTAAGTAGGGCCCCAGTTCCATCGGCTTTGAGAGAGGGAAAGTGGACAGAGAGGCTGACCTAAACACACGAGCCGTGAAAGGCAGCAAGCTTTCTCTGGATGGTCCCAAAAGGGAGAGTCAAAGGAGACTGCAAAGCACATGAGGCGTTGGAGGGGATTTGTCACACTGCAGGTAGAGAGACCAAGAGGTAAGGAACATGAGTGGCCTCTAAGCACCACTGTGGGCCCCAGTAGGTAAACAGCACTGACTGAAACAAAATCTGCCAATATGAAGATGAGGCTGGAAATGGATTTTCCTCAGAGCTTGGGCCAAGAAATCAGTCCACCTAACACCTGACTTCAACTCTGTGATACCCTGAGTACCACTCGGCCTTGATGCTGGACTTCTGATATGTAGAACAGTAAGTTAACAAGTAGGGTGTTCTTTTAAGCTGCTAAATTCGTGATAATTTGTCACACGGTAACCCAAAATGAATACACCAGCTGAATCTGCTGCTCATAAGCTTCCTGAATTATACTTTTTTCTACATTAGTGCTTTACTAGTATTTCAAGAAAAGTCTAGACAACATGAAAAAGGGAAAGGGAATTATTCTGTTTACTTGGCAGATTATAGTAATATTAATGAAGAGATCATGGTCCTTTAGCAATTACTCTGATCCTATTGGTTGTGGTTCTTATAGCAATTAAAGTAACAGGTTTGCTGCTTCCCCATCTGGATTGAAATAATTTCATTTCTATTTCTTCATCTATGAAAATCAGGTTTCAGTGCAAATGAAGTAAAATTACATATACAAAGGTCCCAAAACCCTAGCTGCAAAATAATTGTTAATTTTTTTAACCGAACACCTAATCCTTCCCAATGTCTACTTTTTAGATTTGTTTTGTTGTTTTCCTATCATGTGATACTATTATAAAAGACAAGAGAAACAGTATAGTATGTCAAAAACTATAAGAAAATGAAATCTTGAGGAAAATGCTCCCATGTACAGAGTAAGACCTTTAGGGATAAAACCAACTTTAAGGAAAGGTTTTCTGATAATAAGTCAGTGAGACTAATATTTCAGCACACGCAGAAAGAAGCAGCCCACATCTTGTTGAAAGGTGGTACCTGAGCCTCCTGAAGCTTTGTGGCTGTGGATTCCCATTAGTGCTGCTGTGCCATGGGCCTTCTGTCTAGGGCTGGAAATTAACACAGAGCAGGTGACAGTAATTACACAGACACAGGCACATTACCTAGTACTTCCAGAGTGATTGTGTCCTCTGCCAGGATTTGACCTTGCTCAGATGGGGCACTCACTTCACAACGGTATTTCCCAGCATCGTGTCTTGTGACATTTTTGATCCGTATATTGAAATCTATCATTTCAGCTCGATCCTTAAAATCACCTTTAGAGAAAGAAGATGGTAACATAAATAACTTTGTATGTAATATCTTCCACAAGCCATTTTACTAACTCAACATTCATTTTTCTCCTCATGAACTCAATTTTAAACTTTAAAAATTGCTGAGCATGGTGATGTACAACTGTAATTCCAGCATCTGGGAGGCAGATGCAGGACGATTGCAAGATTAAGCCCAGCCTGCATAACTTAGTGATTAAAGAGATTCCATCTTAAAAAAAAAAATTGAAGGGATGAGGGGATGCATTTATATTATTACTTTAAATTATTTTCTAAAGCCTGTTTTAAAAAAGAATAGTTTTGGGGGCTGGGGATTTAGCTCAGTGGCATAAGCACCTGCCCTGCAAGCAGGCAGTCGTGAGTTTGATCCCCCGTACCAGGAAAAAAAAGAAAAAAAAAAAAAGAATAGTTTCATATTCCCATTTAAAAAAAGAAACTCAAGCCAAATGTCTGTTTTGCCACTTTCTTCATACCTTCTGGCAAGATTCTTGCTTTCAAAAAGCACTGGCATGCTTGGTTTAACTGGCTAGAGTGGTAACTTTGTGAGTGTTGGTTTACATGACAAGAGTAGAAAAAACTGGGGGGCTGTCTGCTGTCTTAAAAACATTCTTCTGGTTAGTTTTTATAGTAATATGTATGGAATTCAAGTAGAGTTTGTGTAACATGCACAATGTTACACAATGTTTCCAGGAATGGAAACTACAGAAAATTCAAATGAAGACCACTGTGGTATTAGCACTTTGCAGCCTACAGTCTTATCTTGAGACATAAGAATCAGAAGGGATATTTTAAATTTTCTATGAACTGTAAACATGTTTCCCTTTAATTCTTTAAAATTAAGTAATTCACAGTATTTTAACATAATACCATGTTTATTATCCTTATTAAGATGTATTTCTATAAAGTATTTATTATGGAAAAATCCAAACATCTAATTAGAGAACAGAGGAACATAAACTTCAGTATACCCGCTCTCCAGCTGTCAATCATCAAGATATGTTCCACCTTATTTCAGTTCTGCCCTTAACCAATGGATAATTTTTACGTAAACTAATGTCAAAACATTTCATCCACCGTTACCACATTTTTAATTGAAAGCTCACTGTCTATCCGACAGGAAGAGCAGTGAGTGGAAAGAAATATATAACAAATGAGAAGCACTTGCCAGTGGTAGGTCCTAACTCCCCGAGCTTCTCAGCAGTGGCAGCAATCTTCCATCCCAAACTCAAGCCATTTCCCCCTCCTTTTTCTCAACAGTTTAACCTACTGGGCCAGCAAAAACAACTACACTTCGTATCCTCTAGGACTGAGCCGGAAAACAGAGGGCCCAGAACTCCAGTGGGATTCACTTACTTCTGTTCTCTGGTCTCTGTTTTTGTGATTGTTTTCTTTTACATCAGACAGTGCTGGTTTCACCTCACACTTACAAAAATACATTTTCAGTAGTCAGTCAGTGTCATGCTCTCATTTGTAAATTAAACACTCTAGGCTGCCCTTGGAATTCTCTGGCTCTCACCTCTTCAGGTCAGCCTCTTACCTTGGAAAGCCTGTTGATAGTAGACGAAGGAGACACTTCGCCCCAGTTTCTTCCACTCTAATCGAGAGGAAATAGGCTTCTTTGGATTTTTACAAGCTAAAATAGCCTCTAGGAACAACAGCAAAAATATTAGTTTTCTAATTGGCCCTATTTTACTAAGTTAACAAGTTATAAACATCCTTAACTTACTTTACTCATTCAACTCATTTATTTCTTCAATCACAACTTACATCAACAGGTACCTTTTTGGTTTAGCCCCCAAATAAACTAGCCCCCATTACAGCTCTTCCACATAACTGTGTGACACTATCCTGCTTTCTTTTAGTTATTGAGTCTGATTTTCTATCCATAAAATGGGATAGTACCTCTTAGAGTTGTTGTGTCTTCCAACACAATCATCTATGCAAAGCACACAGGTCTAAATATAGGAAGAGCTTAATAATCAAGAGCTATAATTAATTTCTTATTTTATTATTCCCAGTATCAGCCTTCAAGGAGTCTACAATCTGGCAGAGGAGGTAATATTTCAGTTCAACGTTGGTAAGTACCAGGGCAGAGGCATAGGGGAGGGCACTACATACTTAGTGTCTAAGCAAGGCACCTCGGCCATGCCAGGCTATGCTGCTGGAGAAACCCAGAGACATTTTCCCAGCAGGCTCACTCTCACTTGGATCTCTTCTCTGTTGATCTTCTCCACAATTATATTAATATAAACACAATGTGACCCTCTAACAAAAATCAGTGATTCCTACACCCAAATGACTGCCCTTAACCTTGCTTCAAAGCAGATAAACTATTAAAAGATTTAATTTTGGCACCAAATTTAACATGTTCAGTGAGGTTAAATTCATTTAATTACAGGAAATTTAGGGCAATCACATCACTGAAGAATTCCTGGAACCACCAAAGAAGCCATTTTTTTTCAACTGTCTAAACAAGATGACTGAGCGGAGGAAAACTTAGTAGAGGCCTGCAAAAAGCCTAGTCACCAAACAGAAACCTACAGTTACAAGTATTTTTAAAGTATACTTCATCCAGGCACTCTAAAACACAAAGTGAGTATTTCTAATGTTATCCCCACAAAGCAAATTATGTGACTTTAAGAAAGCAAACTGTCTTTGAATAGAAGACAAATCATGGTAAGATCTTCTCCATAACTTTCATTTTTGACATTAAGCAAATTTAGTGCTGCATAAAAAAATATTATCCCAGACTTTATTAAAGGTACTCACACTGACATGGACAAAAGTCTGGGAAATACATGTGTGCCTGAAAATTATAACCAAATGGTGAATTCTCTGTGGGAGAATTATGATTTGTTTCATATATATACATATATATATGCTTCTGTGTGTATATATTAATTTTAGAGACTTTATTGCTAAAAATAATGAAATAGAATAAAAACAATTAGTAAATAGGACAGAGAAAAGAAAGGCAAGAAAAAATAAAAAAGTTCTCAAGGATGGTTAAAATTTCTAAAACAAGTTTTATATGACAAAGAAATACCATTTTAAAAAGTGTTTACAGCTATGCTACAAAGACAAATGTGTGCTAAGGGACCTGCCTGAGGAAACACAGTTCTGTTCTGTTGATTAAGGAGAGTGGGTGGTGGCCTTCCGGAGTCTTGCATTTCAGATAGGTTTCCTTCCCATATTTTGTTCAATTTCCCAACAATTAAACCCACACCCACACTCACTTTTTTGTTCATTCTCCATGTATGCCTACCTCTTAAGCAGGATTTAGTGTACTCTGTCACATTGTTTAGTGTACTTTTTCACACACACACACACACACACACACACCCTGCACACACACTCATCTTGACGAATTCTTCCTGGTGACACTGAGGAACTTATGTTAGAAAATGTAAGCAATGGTTTTCCTGCATCACTGACTTTACTCAGCCTCCCTTCTCTCTCTCACTGACCACGTAAGATGTGGAGAAATGCCCCACCCAACTTGTCCAAAGTATGTTCAGTGTTTACCATGTGTTTGACACTCCTCTTGAGTGATACCAATGCACACAGCAAAGAACTGCTGCTCTTTGGGATTTTACAGCCTAACTGGGGAAGTGAGGCCAACAGTGACATCAGAAGGGGAGCTCTTCGGTATCTCAGCTGCTGGGGAGGTCGGGAGAGGACAGCAGAGTGCAGTGTGTGAGGCTGGGGAGTGCTGGGATGCGGGTGCAATTTTAAAAACCAAGATAGTCAGAGGTCACCCCTTTTAGGATATTTCGCGTGGCTCTTAAAGAGTTTCCATGGCAAGGGAACAGCTAGAACCTAGAACCTAAGGTACCAGTGTCTTGAACTTTTTGCCTCTAGAACTGGGAGAGAATAAATCTTTGTTATATTAAGCCACCTAATTTGTAGCATTTTGCTATGGCAACCATAGGAAATGAATACAGATTTTTTTTAATATCAGTATGAATAGGAATAGGAATATCTGTATAAATAGGAAGATCTGTATGAATACAGGAATCATGGGGTCAATATGAAGATAGAATCAAGTGAATGTAGAACGAAACTCTCATAGACTTTGCTTGATCTCTTTAGCCAAAATTCAACACTCACGGTTAGCATAATTTTCTGATCTAGCTTCTGGGGCATTATGACATCATATACCAATCCACAGGGTTTGGAATTAGTCCTCTGACATATATCACATATAAGTATGTGATAATGAGAACATTAATTTCCACTTTTGAACATTATATACACATTCAATAAATAGTAAAATAGGAGGACAGACAACTGGGAAAAATAGAGAAATTAGAATATAACATGTAAGCAGGTATAATTTTCCTATGATGAATAAGATTTTTATATTTATCTTATAACAAAGATAAAATAACACTGCTCATCTCACAAAGTTGTAACAAAGATTAAATGAGATGATGTACTTTCTTGGTGCACATGGTGCCTTGCATATAGTACATACTCCAGAAACGGCCATTATTATTTTCATCATGGGAAATTTCTCTTTAGTTGCAAGCTTTCCTTGGTGTGATTGAAACCTGTACTTCATGCAACCACAAACTTACCCATAAATTCCTCAAATTTGAACTAAAATGTTACTTCTGTTTTGAATCAAAGAAAATATCACAGTTCATTTATTCCCTCAACACAGGCATATTAAACAGAAAAAAATGTGTAAGTTTTTTCTATTTAGGTGAGTAATTCATTGCCAAGACATCTGTTTCATGTAGATGGAGAGAGGATAATCATTTAGAAAAAGCATGAGCACAAATATGTAGCAAAATAATCACTTATAAGAATAAGAGAATCATTATGAATTTTAATCTTTCTAGGATTTGGCGCTGCTATCTTTTGATTTTATTCTCGGTGCCCAAATTAAAAACCCACATAATGAGAAAAGAATTGATCCTACAAAGTCGTTCTCAAGAATTAGCAGAAATTGCTTCTGAAAAGAAATGCTTGCTATTAAATAAACTCTGATTAATAGCTTTTTGGGCTGGACATTCTCTGCTCCAGGCTGTTCATGTCATTCACAAGCCTGGCAGAGCTGCTCTGAGTCCAGTCTCGGGCTGCTTTTGGCACCCGTGTGGCAAGAGATACAAACCAGCAGCACTAAGGAGAAGGGATTAACTCACGAATTTTTGATATTCAAGAAATAAGAGACTAAAACCTGAATGAAATGGATGAAACATACACACACACATACAAATCACAAAATACTATAAACTTTAAGTTACTGTGCAAAATATCCTGAAAGTGGAATAACTGGCCACAAATAAATTAGAATTAAACTGAAATTATCCATTAAAAAGCACAGCAAACACTTTATTGGAGTGAGACCAACTTTTTTTTGTTTTTGGCTGGGGATGGAACCCAGGCTCTTCAACGTGCTAAGCATGTGCCCTGCCATGGAGCTTCTCCCCAATCCTGAGGCTAACATTTGAGTGCAACAGATTACAGAAGGACGTTACCCACATTACACATAAAACCTGCATTGCAAAGTAAGGTAACTAGGCACAGGGTTTCATTTGGGAATGATGGAAATATTCTTGAACCCGATAGAGGTAGTAGTTGCATAACATGGTGAATATACTAAATGCCACTAAAAGTGGTAAGCTTTTAAAATGACGGATTTTGGGGCCGGGGATATAGCTCAGTGGCATACCTGCCTGGCAAATGTGAGGTCGTGAGTTTGATCCCTAGTATCCCTCCCCCAAAAGAGATAAAAATAAAATAAATAAATAAAGTGATGGATTTTATGTTATGTGAATTTTACCTCAGTATGTTTGTGAAGTAATGTAAGACTAGAGAATATAACCTTGATGTCCTTATTCAGACATCATGGTGCAGAGCCTAAGGGACCGAGCCGGGCCCAGCAGGAGGACCTCCAGCAGGAAGCAGGGAAACCCACTGCCTTTGTCCCGCTGGGACATTCTGCTCCAGTTGCCTCTTGGCTGTGCTCATTCTTCCAGCCTGTCCAGGCTCCTTCCTGGCATCCAGCCTGGGCCTGTTTATCCTCCTGTTAAGTACTTCACAGTACAAATTACTCTGAAACACTGAATTCCTCTTCCTACCTCTCCTCATTTAAAGCTAACCCACAATAAAGTGTGTCTCATTAGCTAAATCATGTAAAGTATCAGAACTCCAAAGGATCTAGACCTCAGTAATTATTTCAGTGATTTATTGTGAAGTGACTTGTTATTGGTGAGTGATGGACTTATTCTTAATTTTAACATATTTTTACTTAAGGAACACATATAACGCTTACTGTGTCTTGGGCACAGCTGTAAGCACCATAAAAATACTACCTTAAATTCCAACATCAGTCTTTAAATCTTTGTCTCTTTCTTTCAAACCTGCCTAACTCTGGGAACTGAAAACATATTTAAGGATGAGAACGCACACATTTGTGCCAGCTAAGCTTGAACTGATCTCAGGCTCTGAGAATGCTGGGATCACAACAGTGTGCCATCACACGTGAGCATGGAACCTGGTTATTAAATGTTTACAATCTCAAACCATAAAAAAGCATTATATTTAAGAAATGACAATTATTCTGGTTGCTTTTATATATTATTAATTACATTCTAAGTAAAAGATCTTTGCAAAAGCATGTCGATATTTGAAGTAAATCCATAAAAGCCTTTATTTTTTTAAAATTTAATTTAAAAAAATTTTTTTTCTGTCTTTTTTGAGACAAGGTCTCTCTATGCAGTTCGGGCTGGCCTTGAGCTCACTTTGTAGGCCAGGCTAGTCTCAAACTCGCAACAATCCTCCCACCTCAGCCTCCCTAGTGCTGGGATTACAGGCGTGAGCCACCACGCCCGCTCATAAAAGCCTTTAGACACTACTTTTTTGTTCATGAGTTCCCTTCAATAATTCTGTTTTTGTTTTTTGAGACAGGGTCTTGCTATGTAATTCAAGCTGGCCTTGGATTCATCATGTAGCCCAGGTTGGCCTCGAACTTGCAGCAATTCTCCTGTCTCAGCTTCCTGAGGGCTAGATTACAGGTGTACACCACCATGCTCAGCTACTTCCATTAACTGTGGCAAAATACATGTAACTAAAATTTATTTATTTATTTATTTATTTTTGAGCAAGGCTCACTATGTTATTCATTTGGCCTGCAACTCAATATGTAGCCCAGGTTGGCCTCAAACAGTATTCTTTGAGCCTCAGCCTTCTGAGTCCTGGGATTACAGGCATGCGCCACCATGCCTGACTGTTAAAATCTATCATCTTACTCACTTTTTTACTGCATGGTTGAATAACATTAAGTATATTCACACTGTTGTGCACTTAACAATTTCCAGAATTCTTTCATCTTACAAAACTTAAACTTTTACCCATTAACAAATCCTCTTAAAAATATTTTTATGATGCTACAAATGTCAGCTTGAAATAAAATACATTGATGTCATTTCAAATGCTTAGAGTAGGGTGAGGTATTATTTCCGCTCACCACACTTAACTAGTTAGAAACTTTTCAGGATCCCTATCTCCCTGTTTCACAAATTAGATTTCCTTCATGGCAGATACTTTACACATCAGAGAAGACCTGTATATATCTAGTCTTTTATTGACTACCCAAAATTTCTACTGAGATGTAGAAAGAGTTGTCAACTTGGAATCAGCATACAGCATTTCAGGCAAAAAAAAAAAAAATGTGGGATAAGGCAGAAGATCTCAACAAACAGAAATACAGTTTCATATATGTCATCCTCACAAGGTATTTTATAAATATAGCCTGTAAAAACAAGACACTATACCTTGGTATTCTACTGCTGTGACCACTTGATGGCCTTTTGGGGCAGATAATCCAAAGGACTTATGATCTGAAACATTAAAAGAGATATGATAATTTAAAATAATACAAAAGAGCATCCCAAATCACCAGAGGATGCAGGGGAGATCTCCACAGGCCTAACTGGGCCACACCCAGCAGCCTTCATTCTGTCCTGGGAGCCAAAGGTGTGGGAGGTGATTCCCAGGACGGGGAAAAGCTTTGGAACATCGCTTCCAGCTGGCAAGATCCTGCCCAGCATCCTAAATCACTGGAGGACACTCAGGAGGTCTCCCTGGGCTTAACTGGGCCACGCCCAGTGACCTCCCTGCTGCCCTGGGAGCTGAAGGTGTGTGAGGTGATTCCCAGTGCATGCCGGAAGCTTTGGACCATTGCTCCCAGCTGATAAGACCTTGCCCAGTACCCCAAATCACTGTAAAATACGTGGGAGGTCGCTGCAGGCCTAACTGGGCCATACACAGCAACCTCCAAGTGGCTAGCAGCTGCCTGCATTCTCCCCCAGGAGTCGAAAGTGCACAAGCTGATTACCAGCGCACAGGAAAACTTTGGAACATTGCTCAAAACCTGGAAATATAGGAAAATGACAAAATGAAAAAGCAAAATGCATTCTCAAACCTCCAGCCCATCCCAAGCAAGCCTAGAAGACATGAACGTAGAAGAAAATGTAAGCCATACATCTGAAATTCCTGAAATGATAATGACTAAAGTAAAGAAACAACTCCGGGAAGCTATAAAAGAACTCAGATTAGAAATAATCTCTCAGGTAAAAGAAGAAATGATAAATGTAATGAAAGAAATGCTGAACACATTAAAGAAGACACAGTTAAAAATTAGAGCACAGTGCAAAAAGATGGAAACCCTGAATGAACAATATAAGAAACAAACAGAATGCATGAAGCAAACTCAAAGAGATATGCAGGAAATCAAAAATTCCATTGAAAGTTGGCAAAACTGCCTCAACAAAAGTAAAGATACAATTTCAGACCTTGAAGATAAGATTGCAGCTAGTGAACATGAAAGGAAAGATCATTTAAAAATAACAAGGAATCAGGAAATAATAATTCAACAGCTGCAAGATGATGCAAAGAAAAACAACATAAGATTGATAGGGATAAACAAAATAAGGTGACAACATGAATAACAAGAGGCTATTTACAGAAGTAATAGCTGAAATTTCCCAAACATGAAAATGGAAACTGACATACAGATCAGTGAAGCATCTAGAACTCCAAATAGTCATAACCAAAATAAAACTACACCCAGATATATAATAATCACCATCCCACAAATCCAACATAAGAACAGAATATTAAAAGCTGTTAGAGAGAAAAGACAGATCACCTATAAAGAAAAGCCCATTAGAATCACAGCAGACTTCTCAACACAAATAATGAAGTCAAGAAGAGCATAGAGTGAAGTATTTCAGATCCTAAAGGAAAATGTCTTCCAATCCAGACTGATGTACCCTGCAAAACTGCCCATCAAAATGGATGGAGAAATAAGATACTTCTATGACAAAGAACAGCTGAAGAACTTCATGACCACCAAACCAGCCCTGCAAAGAATACTGATAGACATTCTAGACAGACATACAAAAAAACCACTAAGCAAGGCAGACAACTAAACAGAGTGGAAAGGTAAAGAAGCAACAGCAGAGAGATAACATGTCAAAATCAATATGTATCAGTTATAGCTATTTTTTTTTTACCAGTACCAGGGATCAAACTCACGACTGTGTGCTTGCAGTGCAGGCGCTTATGCTGCTGAGCTAAATCCCCAGCCCCAATCACTTATAACTATTAATGTAAGTGGCCTCAATTCACCAATTAAAAGAAACAGACTGGTAGAATGGATCAAAAAACAACATCCAACCATATATTGTACACAAGAAACTCAGCTAACCCAAAAGGAAATTTACAGACTGAAAGTCAAAGGATGGAAACAATATTCCATGCAACAGGATCGTACCCCCCTCCAAAACAAAACAAAACAAAACAAAACACCAGGGGTAGCTATTCTGTTTTCAGACAATGTGAACTTCAAACTAAGAATGATCCAAAGAGACAAAGAAGGTCACTACATACTATTTCTAGTATTTCTGATACTAGTTAGGGGAAAACTTCTAGAGGAAGAAGAGATAACAATCTTATACATGCATCAAATTCGGAAGCACCCAGCTATACAAAACAAATATTAACAGAAATGAAAAGTCAATAAGCAATAACACAATTATAAGAGGAGACCTTAACATGCCATTGGCACAAAGGGACAAATCAACTAGACAGAAAATCAGCAAAGAAATAACAGAACTGAATCACACCTGTGAACAAATGGACTTGGTGAATGTATACAGAGTGTTCCACCCAACAACATCAGAATATACATTCTTCTCAGCAGCACATGGGACATTCTCTAAAACAGACAATATACTAGCCCACAGAACATGCTTAAGAACATGCTTAAGTAAATGCAAAAGAATTGAGATTATCCCATGCATGTTATCAGATCATAGCGCTATAAAACTAGAAATTAATGACAAAAGAAACTGCAAACCCTACAAACACATGGAAAAACCCTACAAACACATGGAAATTGAATAATACACTTCTGAGCAATCAGTGGATCACAGAGGAAATTAAAGACGAAATTGAAAAATATCTACAAGTAAATGAAAATACAAGTCCATCTTACTGGAACCTGTGGGACACAATGAAAGCAAACCTCAGAGGAAAAATTATTGCAGTGAATTCCCACATCAGGACAACAGAATGACCACAAATAAACAACCTAACACTACAACTCAAACATCTAGAAAAAAAAGAGAAAGTCAAGCAAAAGCCAAAAGAAGGGAGGGAATTATAAGGGTCACAGCAGAAATCAATACAATAGAGACTAAGAAAACAATACAAAGAATAAATGAATCAAAGAGAAGGGAAAAAAGAAAAAATATTTAAATTATATAAACACATTTAGGATTGCTAACATGATTGTGCTACAAATTCTATAAGTTCTTGGATTAAAACAGCTAACTTTCATAGGATTGGAACAATTGTGTATGTTAGTGTTTGGTGATCTGAAGAACTCTTGATGATCATTATGTAAAATAACAACTGTAGTTATGCTCCTACCACCTTGTTTTGAAGGTCTGTATTATTGTCACTGTTTTGGGATCTTTGCTACTGTTATTTATTTGTCTTTTTTGTTTCATGTGTTCCTAGTAGTTTGTTTTGTTTTGTTTCCCTTTAATACAGAAAAGATAGGAATACATGTAGAGACTTATAACATGCACAGAACTTCTCCTAAACAGTTTATGAGAATCAATTATATAATGCATAAATGAACAGCTACTTTAAAGGAAAAGAGGTAGCCATTGCTGATTTCATATCATCATGTTGGGAAATCTAGTAGTGCTATTATTCTTTGTTCAGAGTGGTTTTAGCCTGGTTTGTAGTGCTATTATTCTTTGTTCAGAGTGGTTTAGCCTGGTTTAATTTCAACATATATGAAGGTATGGACAGCTAATTTGAATGAGAACAAGGGACATTATGGCAGCCATTGTTAATTTTCCTGTCATCTGGTTTTGAAGGCCTATAATGACTTCCTCACTCTGTTATGACCAGTTTAGTGCTATTTTGTTTTGTATGAATTCATTGTGTGTGAAGATATGGCATAAGTGTCTTCCTGGCAAGCATAAGGTCATGAGTTTGATCGCTGGTACCAAAACAAAACAAAACAAACAAAAAAACCCACATTGAATTTAGCCAATCTGTACTGAAAGCCCACATGCTCAATTACTGTACTGTACTGGACCCCACACTCAGTTTCCCTCAAGCTGAGTCTGAGCAAGGATTGCTGATGAATGAAGATGTTGGGTGAAATGGCCCATTGATCCAAAGGATGTAAAAGAGCTTAAAAAATTGGTCACAAGGAAAGCAACATGCTCCAAAGTACAACAGAAAGGTGGAAATGAAATGGCTGTGACTAGGGAATCTAGAGGCAAGGGGACCAGGGTTTCTCGGTCTTGACACTATTAATCTTTGGGGTTTAACCATTTCTGCTAGGAAGCTGTTCTGTGTCTGCATAATATTTTGCAGTATTCCTGGCTTCTATCTTCCAGAAGTTAGTAACACTCCCCACCCCTAAATCACAACATCTGCAAATATCTCTAGATAGAAGTGTCCCTGAGGGGTGGAGCACAGGAACCACTCCTGTTCTATACTTCTGGTTCTGAAGAACTAGTCATAGAAATAAATTACTATGTTAAAAGAAAGCAAGGAATGATTTCAAGGAATTTGAAACTTTCTTCAGAGTCAGAATTTCATAACTAAGAAAGATGTTCTATTTCCTAGAAGGAGAAAAAATATTTCATACAAGGCAGCATTTTTTCTTTAATTTATTTACCAACAGTACATCAACATGCAAACTAGATTTTATCTTTTTATTTTTATTTTTTATTTTTTGTATTTTTGAGACAGGGCCTCACTATGCAGTTCAAGCTGGCCTTGAGCTCACTTTTGTAGCTCAGACTGGTCTTGAACTCACAATTTTCCTGCCTCAGGCTCCTAAGTACTGGGATTACAAGTATGTGCCATCACACCTGGCTGACTTTATCATTCTTAAAGAAAACATGTACTATTCTGGAGAATTTTTCCTTGCTCCCTTTTTTTTTCCCTTACAAACCAGAACAGAAAATCTAAGTGTGAAATTAAAACTCTTAAAAGTCTGTAGTTCTTACATGCCCAAATCCCTCGTCTAAATGCTCGGGTCCTGCATCTAAACTGCTCCCATCTTTGTTACTGAAATTGGTAACTCTGGTGCTGGTGTAAAGCACGTAGGATTGAACTCATCTTTGTTACTAGTAGCTGCAAATATGTCTGTAGAAAGCAGTGGTGCCAAGGTGACATCTATAAGGTGACAAGGCCAAACAAGAGTAATTTAGAAATAGTTCTTTTGCTTCTATATATTTCCAGAAGCATGAAAGAGTTCAAACAATCTCTTTCGATAGTTTTTCCCCATTCTCCATACAATTCT